GACTCCATATGTAAATCGAAATGTTTCTTTTTATGTAACTGTTTATTTGAAGGTAAATATCACATACACTGATTAATATTGCGATAATCCAAGGGTTTTGAAAGAAAATTGACATAGGTGTTTATTAATTTATAGCCACCACCAGTTCAATACTATTAGTAAAGCATGAAACTTCTATAAAATGTTAATGCAAAAATATCTGTTTTCAAAGTGAGTCCACGCTCTTTTGCCAAGAGCTAGCACATATAAATTGATTTTAAAATGCTATTTTTAAACATTTTCTCCTGTCTTTCTCTTTTTAGCCCTCTCCGGCCTTGTGTATCTCAACATTCCGTGATAAGAAACCAAGTTTAAACCTCGATAAGCACATTCATCTTTGGAGTCTAATTGAAGTTCCGCCGCCTTTGAGTGCATGTTTTAGTTTGTGAGCGGCCTGTTGTTTTCGGGTCATCTGTAAATCTGACATGCTCACAAAGGATTCGGCCGCGCTCATTCCTTTTGATGGACGTTTTAAGCTGCTGTGACGAGAAAGTCCTCGTTTACTCGCCACAACATCACTAAGTCGAGGCGTTGACTCATCGCCGTCTTCCAGATATAAAGTCAGCTTCGAACTCGGTTTAAGTATTCCCTTTTGGTACATATGTCCATTTATTTGATCATAAGTATTGGATAAATCTTTTTCTTTCTTGATGCCGTTACGTATGACATTACCACCCGAGTACATACTCGATAAATCCTTTTCTTTCTGGATACCATTTCGTATAAGATTACCATTTGAGTCATGATACTGAGATTTGTAAGTGGATTCCTTTTTGATAGGAAATGTTTTGCTAAGAGACGGTTCATTAAAGATGTTCTCTTCTGTAGAGTCACTTGGACTACTAGTTTTCGGCGTGCTGCTCGGTGTTGCCTTGGGTGTATTTAATACACGCGGAGTACTGCTCTCATCACTTCGGGTTGAATTAGGTATTGAGGCGGGCAATGATATAGATTGCTGCTGATTAATAAGTGCTCGATTTTTAGGAGCAATGAGAGGGAGTCGTGATGTATCTAAAGTTCTTGTGATACGGTCATATATAGATCGCGGTTTAGATAGTACATCTGGATCGACCTCTGGAACAGTGGCAAGCGACGGCTCACTGAGAACCCCAGCAAGACGGTCTTCGTGAATTTGGTTCAGCTGACTTGAAGCACGAACCCTTCCGCTCGTGACTTCAAAATAGTTCTTTAACACTTGAAGTGTAGCTTTATGTCGTCTTTCTTCCATCTCTTCAGCTGACTGCTGCGTGTCTTCTATTTGTCGCTTAAGTTTCGTGCGCTGGTCTTGCATTCTGTTGTCAATAAAGTCTAATAACTTTTGGAGTCGACCTTCTTCAACTTTCTTAGTTGCGGCAGTGTTTCGCCTCGACATGCCGCGAAATTTAGGTTCTAAATGGCTCATTCCCGACATGATGTATGACTTTTGTGTAGTCACAAAGCAGATTTTTAAAGTGTCGATGAACACTTTCTAAGTGATCAACAAGTATATCCGTCGAGCGAAAATAGTTTTAAAACATTCCAATTTTTAAAATATCCATTTCAAAAATGGACACTAAATTCACAATGATATATATTTATGTTATCATCTTAGATATCCGAATATAATTTCAATAACAAAAAAATGAAGTATATTTCTCCTTAGAGATCCATTAATTGTTCTTTCCTTTTAATTTCGTCAAGAATTCAAAATGGCAGATGACTTTCAAGACGTATAACAAACTGGTTTCTACAAGTAAACACTTACTCATTGAAAAATCTTATTCTTTTCACCATGGCACTCGAATCGCTTGGCCTCACTTCACAAGTTATATATAATCGAACATGATCATCGAATCGGATTACTTTCTGTTCATTATTCGTAAACAGGAGGTTCTCACATTTCAAAAGCGTTGCGACACAGTAACGGGGGGATTATTTGTCTTTTAGAGGTTATTATATGCTTGGGTGAAAATCGCTTTGAAGATTTATGATATATGTAATTGTTTTATTAGTGATATGGGAAAAAATGAAGACGATATTTAAATATGATACATAAAAGAAATATGTTGTAAATCATGTCAGTTTTTGTACTTTAAGTAAAAAATTATTTAGCCATTTCTTTGTCTTTCCTTTCTTGTTGATTTGTTGCTGATTATGTTGTTGTGTTTTGTTGTTTTTTTAGAATTAACACATTGTAAACACGTGAACATTAGGATATTGATATCAGTTCCAGTATTTATCACCATTACTGTCATTTATGTTAATTGGTTTAAACATATTTATTTAAGCTCAATTGCGAAACAAGTTCTTGCAACTTATATTAATCACTTTCGAGTCTGCTTTCTGGAACCAACCAGTACTGGTGTCATATGAAGAAACATGGTTGTGACCCGAGTAGGGCTCGAACCCATGATCTCTGGGTTGAGAGGCAGACACCTTAACCACTAGGCCACCGCTCCCCTTATTTATGTAAATTATTAATCAAAGACATCGGACAGAAAGAGGGTGTCATCTTACATATAGAACGGGAATCTCGATACTAAATCGTAACATTCCGACTCTTTCCGGCTCTTTCCGGTATACATCAATGGTCAAAGCTCATTGAGAATATGTATATGGCATCTACAACAATTGACCAAGCAGAATTTGATAAACACAAATAACAAAACATGGTGATCTCATGATTTGTAAAGAGGTTCACTTGAAAACAAATGACGTTGCTACATTGAAAAAAATAAATAAATTGAAAACTTGATAGAGCGTGTAGAACGAGTAAGAATGAATTGTTATATGTATATAGAATTATAAAATAACGGCTGTGAGGAAATTTCCTACAGAGTGAAATGATCAAAATACATTTAGTCTTAACAGAATTTTATCATTTCGAGTGAAAATATATTCAAAATTTCTCGAAAAACGAAAAATAACCTTTTTATTTAATTTTACCGTCTTTACGATCTACGCAGTTGGAATCGTACAGCGTGCAGTAATACATTCATTTATTAAAGCAATCGCAACTTTTCGGCCCTGTCCGTCAGTCTTCGGATAAGGACCTCGAACACAATGGTATGAATACACAGAACGGATGCGGTATTTCGGTCTAACCTACGCTAAGAACCTAAACATGTAAACAAATAGTACTTTAATGTTGTGAGTTGTTGACAAGTTTTTTTTAACCAATATATCAAGTAAATGTCTGCCTAAAATAAGCAAAGACAAAGATATAAAAGTAAACAATAAATTATTTCTTTACTATTATTATGATTGTAGAAACCGAAAGTACAAAATGTCATCCTGTTGCCATCAAGTCGGATTAGTTTATAATTGTATTCAAATTAAAAATGATTGTCTATATGGTGGCTGATTTGTGTCATTCGTGTTTTCGCCCCGCGACCCCGCCAAGTAACCAAGTTAAAATGGCGGGGGCGTATAGCGAAAACACGCTTATAAGCGGTGGCGCGGGGCAAAGTTAAATAAATAAAACTTTGCCGCGCCCCCGCTAATTAGCGTGTTTTCGTTCCGCGACCTGCCAAGCGAAAAGTCGAGAATTAACAAGTTAAAATGGGGGCGCGCGGAGCGAGATTTAAGAAATAAAACGGCGAGGTCGCGGGACGAAAACACGCTAATTAGCGAGGGCGCAGGCGAAAACAGGAATGACACCACTCAGCCATCATAGTTGTGAGACATATTTTCAATCATAATTGTACCAAGACAGACTATATTTTCCTTTAGATGTGAAATAGTTACATGCGTTTAACATTATCGAAATAACACTCTCTGTGAAACCATGTGATAGAACTACTTTCACTCCGTATTGTTTCCGAGGTTATTAATGATAGCCGAGGACGTTCCGATTGTTATCATAAGTGTGTGGCGCGGTTAAAATTAAACACACATTTTATGAACCGTTTTGGAAAACATAACCAGATAATTTCCGATAATGAAATGAATAGATGAAGCTTCTGACGGCAACAGATAAAACATCTGAGAAAGTAGTCCCAAAAATAAATATGAGTTTTGGCTCCGCCTGCTTTCATATTTAAATTTCTTATTTGTTTTGTCACAGATATGATATATATGGTTGCTATAGCACCATATTTCATTGGTAAAATTAACAAATTCAATATATTTCCAAAGCATGCAGATTTCCTAACTTATGATAGCATGCTTTTATTTATCTAGGACTTAGGGTAACGATTTCTCAGTATCATCAGTCATAAATAGTTTCGTGTCAAAGTTATCTGATTTTTCGGATGCGTATTGTCAATGAATAACCTTAGAGAAGAGAGAGTTTTAGAGAATACTATGAAGTGTATTTTAAAACTTTATCAACAGCTATATAAGCAATCCATTTTTGTTTAAAACCATCTATAACTCTTTGTTTGAAAATCGGTATAAATGTTCTCCGTTAAATCTTCTTGGACAATTCCAAACATCAGAAAATCCATATTCATCGAGCAAACTTTAAACAAGATATGTCCATTTTCTGTGCTATTCAAATAACACTATTGTACAAACAGAAAAACATTTGTTTAGTTATAATCACCAATCCAAAACCACAAAATGTGGCAAATAGAAAATCAATACCTAGTATGGTCTGTTACTTGGATACGACAGATTTACTGACCTCCCTTTCAGGAATGAAACAATCGGCTATTCTTTTAGTTTTCAATTAAGAGAAATAATGAAAACCTTTAAAATGCTTTTAGTGCTTACTAAAGAGATACTGGCCATTGAAAACAAACATCAATCAGCCTCAATGCCTTAAATACAGCTAGCTTCCTATAGGGGTTCATAATTAGAAAGTCATTATCGTCAGTTGCATATCACAATCAATAGTACCATGATAGGAATTAGTTTGCATATCTCGGGTAGAAATTAAAAAATTGAGAATTGAAATTAATCCTTACAGAAGGCAAACAAAATTATTTATAATGGGATTAATCTTTAAAAAATACATATTTTTCCTTACAATTTGCATTATGCCAAACATCGGGTATATACACTGTACATCTATAAATGATACAAAAAGTTTACTTCATGATTTATTGGATGGATATAATAAAAATGTACGGCCAGTTGAAAACCAAACCGAGGCCGTTCATGTAAGAGTAAGACTCATGTTGGACTCTATTCAGGACCTTGATGAGATTCGTGGTGTATTTTCAGTAATGGGCATTATGTACATAGTATGGAATGATGCAAGTATGGTGTGGGATCCAGAACATTACGGGGGTATAGACTATGTTATGACGTCATACAAAGAGGTATGGGTTCCTGAGTTGATTCTCATCAACCCGGCAGATGAATCAGACACTCTTGGTAAGAAATGGCAGAGAGTTCTCTTTACACATACAGGACGCGCTTCATGGTGGCCTACAGATCTATTTAAAAGTACATGTAAAATAGATGTTTACAGATATCCATTTGACTCGCAAGAATGTGTAATGATATTCTCGGCATGGGGCTATTTTTTTGGCCAGGTTAAATTGACTACGTCAAAAAGTGAAATCGATTTGAGGCGTTACGTAGAAAGCTCTACATGGACGTTAGCGAAATCTCAAGTCAGGACCTCTGTTGATGGTACAACAATAGAGTTTGTTGTAAATTTAGAAAGGAAGCCAGACTTTGTGATTGTTAACGTTCTCCTACCATTATTATTTCTCAGCTTACTTAATGCATTTGTTTTCCTTCTTGTACCGGAATCTGGGGAGAGGATTTCCTACTGTATCACAGTGTTGTTATCAATAGCTGTTTTTATGACTATTGTAAGTGACACGCTTCCAAAAAGCTCGGAGCCCGTACCAGTTATTTCATACAAGTTAATGGTTGATATGGTAAACAGTACCCTTATGACGTTTGTCACTATACTCAATCTCCGTGTGTATTACAGAAACGACAAGAAAAATGTTCCTCGGTGGTTAAAGCAGCTTTACATGTTTGTGTCCTGTAAGTGTGCAAAACGTGATATTCATCCAATTTCTACTGACTTAGAGAAAATGAAATCTACCCGGAAGTTATCAGTGTTCGAAAACAATAAGAACATCACTATAAGGAGAGGGTCAACAGATGATAAATCAAACAATGCACCAAAACTTACTACCCTTAAAATGTCCTCTATTTCTGTATTAAATGAGGAAAAAAGTGTTCTCGAGCCTATAGAAAATACGCTAGCCAGGTTGACGTCAGAGGTAGAAGGAAATTGTTCTGACAATGCTAACGTGTCATGGAAAAATATCAGTTACATGATCGACGGAATTGCATTCGTTTTGTTCACCTTTATGTCTGTGTGTAGCTTTACAGTTTTCTTTGCAATTACTTATTAAAGCTTTCCTAACTTAATATGTTTACTGGGCTGGTACATCATTTAATCTGGACAAATATTAAAAGCTACAGTATGTTACATAAGCAAAATAAAAAGGCAAGGATGAGCTATTAAATATGTTTCTGCTTTTGTGACATTAAATTTCGAAAGATTATCTTAGTGAAAAGAATTGAACAATTTACTTACGTACATGTTTCAAAATTGCGCTTTCTCAGCAAACCAGATTTAACCAAATAAATACATGTACTGTGTTCGATGTAACCAAAGTTGTTATGGTATGTTTAATAAAAAAATGTCAAGTCAGAAATGAATGTAATTTTCGAACTTAAACGTGAGGCTCAGTCAAAATGTAATTGACTTTCACTTCACGAGAGCTAAATTTTACTTTATACATTTGTTTCTAGAAGAACGGGCTTGTTGATAATTGTCGACAAGATCGCTGACGATTTCATGAAATAAGACACGAGCTATAGTACTTTGAACACTCTGAATCATCTGTTAAATGGCGTATCCTTTAAAACTTTAAGCGAACAGACAAAATGAGGAAATGAAATGGATAACAAACCAGTTACCATAAAAGTCGTCGTCATACAAAAGCATATTTCTCAATCGGCGCTACTTGGAGAATAGGAACAGCTAAAATTATAATGAGTCAACTCAGTGTAGCGTTTAGCACTCTTCATCCTAACATTCTCTTTAACGAGCCCTATAAGCAGTATGCTGTAAGTTCTTATCACAAACAGCTTGGCTCGAACTTATAGCATATCATGTTTATATAGAGTGTCATGTTTTGTACAAGTTGTTATGTTTTGTACAGATTGACATGTTTCGTGAAAACGATACTGTTTTCTATAGTATGTCATGTTTTGTATAGCATATTATGTGTTGTATTGTAAAATATGTTATATTTTGCATAGTGGGTGGTGTATAATAATCCATGCATTGCATATAGAATGTTATGTTTTGCATAGTATGTCATGGTTTGTATAATTATGTTTTGTTCTATTTAACATGTCAAGTTTTGTATAGTCTGTTTATAGCTTATAGAGTATGTCATGTTTTGTATAGTATATAATGATCATTATGATTTGAAGTGCAATTAAATAAAAGTACGAGTACGTATAACATGATTTATCACAAAAATTATTTCATGATAACGTATCACATAACACAAGTAACTATTTGAGCGTGGGAAATGTAACTGTTTGAATAATTATAACTATATATAACTATAAAACCTGAAACCTATGGAATAATCATTTGGATGTCTTTGATCTTACTTGTTCTGTTTTATATTGTGTTAAAATGTGTATTAAGTAGAATGTTATGAAATAAATTTTTTTGAAAAATTGCTTCTTTGGTTATGAAATCTTTATTAAATAGTAATTCAAAAGGAAAATATATAAGCCAATCGGGAAACGGACAAAGGCCCAACCGGACAAAAGCTCTCCCGCCAAAAAATGACAAGGCGGATAAAAGCCCTTCCGTGAAAATGACAGGGCGGACAAAAGCCCTCCCGTGAAAATAACAGGGCGGACAAAAGCCCTCCCGTAACAAAAATAGATATATATGTTGAATACCTGTGTTTTTTTTCCAATGCACTCAATGTATTAAAATTGTTACATATATTTCTTGTTGTTTTCAATTGGCTTACTAATGTTAGGTTACAAATATTACAGTGTAGAAATTCTAGATTTTGTAATGACACAATTTTGACTTGATATTGATTTTAATCAAACAATCGTCGTTACCAATAGCCAACATTGAACTATATTACTTAATATTTATTTACTTTTACATCGTTTTGTTATCAAGTTATTTGTATTTGTATCAGTTATGTATACTTATAAGCCCATATACCACTTAGGAGCTAGGTTACGGTAATTTGACGGAAATGGGTTTCTAGAACAGGAATAGAATTTAAATATATGTTAACAGTTGGAAAGGTAATAAACCGAAAGTTTAGTCAACTGGTTGTTATTTATTTATTTATTTTATTTTTTTTTTGATTGGGTTTTATGTCACACCGATCGACATAGTATAGGTCATATCGCGTCGACGTTCCAGCTTTTACAGGTTGAGGGAGACCTCAGGTGCCCTTCCGTGCATTATTTTCAGGCACGAACGGGCACCTGAGTAGAACCACCGACTTTCCGTAAGCTAGCTGGATAGCTTCCTCACATGAAAGAATCCAAAGTCCCTGTCGGGATATCACATAGCTTGCATAATAGACATTAGATAATCCATATCCCCTATACGCCGGAAATTTATGCTTGACATATTACCTATATATTATAATATAATATTGCGAGACATACAATGTATACTTACTAGATAAAATCTCGCAACAAACATGATGTACGTGTGGGAAATCTTTAAAAGATCCGATTAATTACTGAACCGCCATGGATATGATTTTTATAGAACACGCAACAAATATAACTAGTAACTCTTTGGGAGCGGGGGTCAAATTTAATGATTTTGGCATCACATATATATATTTAGCTTCATGTTGGCATGTATTATTATTTTTTATATAGATTTTCTAAAGTATCTTAGGAAGAAAAAATGTGAAAAAGTAGTAAGTTTGAAAATTAAATATAATTACTAGTCATATATATCTTGGCATATGAGTCATATCGCGGTTATAAGCCCGCGTCTGCGTGACTCCAAAATATAAATATAACACATTATTGCAAATTGCTGTGCACAATGCATATCAAAGTGTCTATGGCTGATCAAGCTAGTTAATTGGCAAGGAAAGTAGGAATGAAACAACCCCCATCCCCCGCGGTGAATCCTTCCTATCAACAAAAATGTTAAAACGTTTCCCTGTATTGTTAATATAGATATTATAATACTAATTATTCGATATCACGGGTAGCGTCTCGGATCCCGGATCCCGGGATTTTCCCCCCATCAATACGGATTTGGTACGGCAGGACGTGTTTTTATCTGATCGATGATGCAAGTCCGAATGTTGCCGAAAAAATAAAGTGACAAGTGAAATATCATAAAATTGGACTTAATTGTTGAATTTCAAAAGATATCGTTAAGTTAGTTTGTGAAATAGGGATGCATACTTGCCACGTATGTTCTTAAGATGGCGACAGACTCGTATATTGAACGTCAGAATGATGAGCTTCAAGTTTTGCAGTCGATTCTTTTAGAAGATTTTAAAGATCTGCGTCAATCAGACGCATGGAAAGTATGAACTGTCAAAATTTCTGAAAATTAAATGCTGTACACCTCTGACTGTGACAGCATAGGCTTTTTTGTAATAAGTAGATTTATTGGATGGTACTTTAATGTTCTTTCAGTTGAACAACTGGATCATCGTTTCAAATTCCCCAGTATGTTTCCTTGTAATTGTCAAATAATTCAGCTATAGGCATAATAGCATTGTACTCATTGTCACGGTTCATATCTGTTCACTAATTAGCACGACCAAATGGTTAGTAGGTCTGCGAAATAATAATCCGAGGGTCCCGGTTAGAGTCCCAGTCGGGCTGCACATTTTTCTCATATGAGTGTGAGATTATGCGTCCAACGTCACAGGATGACAAACAATCAATATTTTTCCCTCCATGAAAGTTAAGAACAAAATCAAAATAATTTCAGGGTTCTCGGGGACGCTTATTTCGGCGTCCCGGTACGCATGTTTATTACAGCTGGACGCAAATATTTCAGAGCAAGGATTCCACGTACGCTTAATTTTGCCTGGGGACGCATAAAATTACCAATTGTTTACAACCACAAATACACAAATACGTCAGCGCATGTCAGTCTATAGGTAGGCGGTCCTATGCACATCGACCCGTGAAGCGTTTAGCCAATCAGCGAGAACGCTTCCGGTCATCATCACGCAATAGTGATCAGACTAATGTATACACGCGCTGTACATGTAATTACCAGATATAACACAAGGTGATAATTTTATATCTTTGATCAACAGTTGATTGGAAATTAGCAAATTTTACCGACAAAAGGATAAAATTATCGACTATTTACGCCGCAAGTTTAAAGACTGTTTTCTCAAATTACAAATGAGTGTAATTTTGAATGATTGTCGAATATTTTCGGCATTTTCTAGGCACAATTTTGCTTTAGTTTCATTCTTGCAAAAACGTTCTACAAGAGTATTAAGAATTTAAGATATTGTGCCGAAATGCCAAGACAACAAACAAAAATACACATATGCTTTTCTGTGATCCGAAAATTGATCCCGAACATCGGCGATTTCACGTTCGCCAGAAACCCGAAAATTTAGCAAAAATTCTCAGTTTCCAATCCAAACACGTGAATGAATTGTTCTTTTATTATTTAATCAACATTAAATCTTTAAATATCGATCTTCAATTTGCCCCCTTTTAAAGATATTTGCTAAAATAATTGCCGATCAGATGAATCTCTTGCACACTGTGTGAAGCTGTACACGATTTTCCTATTCATTCCGCTAAACGCTGCCTATATACATTTACGTTTTTTTTACAAATATAAACTTTTTGTCTTTAGAGTGGACTTATTTAACCAGAATAAAATTTGATTTGGTATAAATGTTAAAAAAAAACGATTTCCATGAATTGTGTTGATGCATTATAACGAAATAATTTCATAATAAATATTAACAACAAAACAATAATTCAAATTTTTTTTTGAATAACTAATAAACTTTAAAAGTCTCTTGAAGATTCAAAATATCAGCAATGCTATTGTGAGCATTGAATGACTAATCTATAAACATATTAATTGCGACGTGTTTTTGGACTCCAACTTTTTCAGGGTTGGGAGTCCATGGACTCCATGTTTTAAAGTCCTAGTGAGAACCCTGATTTTTTCACAGCATTGTAGAAAACACTAGTTATGAGTTTTTCCATCTACATTGAAGGGACATAATTACATTTACAGTGAGAAGGCCTACAATGTTTTAATCTCAGCATCTTTAGCATCATCAATGAGCAAGTTTAAATCATTATTTTTTTTCAGTATCCAACCATGTGTAATAGGAAGCAATTTCAGGCTTTCCTACAGGAATGATTAGCAGATTTTCCTATGATCCGGGTGTTCAGACAATTTGACTTAGTCTGGCACATAATATGAAGGGACAATACTTACTAGATAAGTGGTCTTATGTTGACATTCAAACACAAATTGCTTGTCCCATTATATTATGTCCCAGCTTAGTATTATCAGGTTTTCTCTTATAACCACTGAAATTTGAAAGTTCACACAGGACAGGGAAATTAGATAACACACCCGTCAGCACTTTTTCTTGAGATGGGAACTAGGATTTGTAATAAACTGGCATGTTTTTTTTTTAAATAATTGCTGCAGGTGTCAGTGATAGCTTTCTCTTTTTAGCTCACCTGTCACAAAGTGACATGGTGAGCTTTTGTGATCGCTTTTCGTCTGGCGTCCGTCTGAAACTTTTACTTTAAACGACATCTCCTCATAAACCACTTGGCCAATTTCATCCAAACTTCACAGGAATGTTCCTTTGGTAGTCAACTTTAAAAATTGTTCAAAGAATTTAATTCCAAGCAGGACTGGTTGGACGGGGGGGTCATTGATTTTCCTTATTTGTATATAGTAAAAACTTAAAAAATCTTCTACCGTATAAGTGGTTTTTTCTGCGGTGACTTAATTTCTGCGTTTTCTGCGGTCAGTTTCAGCACCGCAGAAATAAAAACCGCAGAATATTTCTCCACGTTTTGTTTTTTAACGATATTTGTCCTACATTATGACCTGTTTCTTCTAAAGTAATAACGACTAACGGATTATAACGGTTAGCGGGTTTATCAAGTTATATAATATTGCTTTCGCTAAGTTGTTTAATATGTGCTTGTAAGGATGTACTTGTCGTTAATTATGCCAATTTTATGAACAAAGAAAATTTAATCATCATAGGGTTTGCCTGTACGCTGAAAGGTTTGTTTACCACTAAATCATTAAAACCATTTAAAACCCTTATAACTGCTAAAATAATCGTCGTATACATTATTGGTTGTCTGATTTACGATAAACTTCTATCAATTTTAATTAAATTAAAGATACTACTGGGCTATATTTTTCACACGTCATTTCACGCTGATCAAAAGATGCATACTGTCTATTTTTGCACATTATATTTGTTTGCAAGCAAACAATATAATTGTTTGTAATTACTATATAGTTTTGCGGTGACGACGGTAAACAAAATTTTAATGCGAATGTGTACATGCAAATAAAATAGGTAAAGTAATGTGACTTAGACTTTGATAAGACGAGCCGCAGAATTTAAATCACGTTTTGTTTAAAGAATGTGCCGCAGAAATAAAGTCCGCAGAAATAAAAACATGCCAAAATTTGGAAAACCCGCAGAATTTGGAGCCCGCAGAAAAAACCACTTATACGGGTTCAAATAAAAGTCCCTGGTTTAAAATTGGCATTGGCCCAGCGGCCTATATACAGGTGAGCGATTTCAGGGCCATCATGGCCCTCTTGTTTATTTTTACTCCTGGCAGCATGGAAAACACACTAGTTAGTGTGCATTATATTATGGACCTGGATATGTATGAATCTAATAAATCTATAATTTGTTGCTGTTTATTCATGATGAAGAAAAGTAAGACATCAGTAAATCATACAATGTAAGAGTTAATATAAAAATGCACAAAACTATTTACAAAAACTTCATATCATATTACAGTTTTTATATTTTGGTGACAGGTGAACAGACCTCCAGAAGTTTGTTTGACACTTAAACCACAGGAGAGTGCAGGAAACTATGAGGGAGAAATTTATGTCCAGCTTGATCTTATTTTCAAATGTCCCGAGAAATATCCAGATGTGTAAGTGACAAAGTGTTCAGACTTTGAATTTTGTCTTGCATTTTGAAATTATCCAAGGTAAACGATGCATACACAGTGATTAATCTAGATGTGCGTCCCATGTTAGACACACATAAAAAGCTAGAAATACACACGGTTTCAAAATGTGTGCGTCCCATGTGATGCATGCTAATCTGATAGTTTGTAACTCAAAATATCACAGTTAGTAATTTGTATCTACCGTTTTATTTAAATCGCAAGCAATTGTTGCCAAATATTTCAATTTGTAATGGGCACCTTCCCATAATTGGCATTAGGTAATCTGAGCATCCCTTTTGCCTGAGGGCAATAATGGTTGGATATTTTTTGTTTGTGTCAAACATAATGTTTCATTTTGTCACTGGCCCGAGTGCTTGAGATATATATTGTTAATACTCTTACAAAACATATCTATTCATTCTAAATATGTAACAGTAAGTCTTAACAGTTGTTTAATATCTCAGGAAAACTATGAAAAAATAAAACAAGATTCGTGGCACGGTAAATGACCTTATTATTTTTTAGCTAATGATTGTTGGTATGCCTCTTTGATGAGATAAAAGGTCTGTCATGTCTTTTGAACTTTTTCAAAAGAACCTGATTAAAATGTTCATTAATTATTTGTCTTGGTGTGGTTGAAACAATATTACAGCTAATTTTTAAACCTAACTTGAATATAATATTATGCTTGTTAATATCGAGTCACAGAACTTTTTAGCATAATAAGAATATGTGCTCTTTAATTTAAAGAAAAACTGGACAAAAATGTTGATTTTGATATAAACTTTAGTCAGCAAACACCCCCAGGGCCTTTTTACCCTTCTTTGCTGTAGCCGGTAATCGGCTACTTCCCCAAGCCAACTTACTACCTTTTTTCCCCAAAAAACAGTCTAAAATTCCCCTTCTTGCAAAGATTTTCTCTTTCAGAGACATGTTAAATCGAAGAAAAAAACTTGTAAACAAACTTTCTTGTTTAAAAATAGATCATTGTTTTTGTCCAATGAAAGCTAATTATTCAATTACCCACTACAGGGATACCTCAAATCAAGAACCCTCACATGTCATATGTAATTTTTCTATAATTAGGAAATATGAGTTAATGTATTCTTAGGAAAATAAAAAGTGGCAATAAATTGATCTGTAAAAAAAATCCCTGTAACTTATGTTGGACAGAAAGCTCCTAAAATAAGTGTGTTTGGGGGAAAATATGCAAATATATTATAATATTTCCCCCAAATGTATGATTTAAATAAGTCTTTATTTATAGTAATAATGGTTAAATTGCCAGTGGAAAATGTGATTTTTTTCCCCAAAAGTATTAAAACCGCGCATTTTTTCCCCACAAAAAGGGCTTGGGCGCCATCCCCAAAACTGGTGAAAAGGCCCTGACCCCACCCCACCCCTCCTATTCTTTTAAATTGTCAATTCTGTTACTGATCATATACTGAGAAAGATAAGAAATTCAGAAAAAGCACATTACTTACTGCCTGTTTTGGAACACTGACTCCATGTAGTTCGTCATAATATGGAATTAAGTGATAAATAATACTGTTAAATACTAATTATTATTCATGAATATTTCTTTTGTCCATTCAACAGCGTTCCAGACATAAGAATGGAAAACACAAAAGGTCTATCTAATCAGCAGTTACACACACTGAAATGTGATCTTGAAAAAGAAGCAGAAAAACTGAAAGGACAGGTATATTTGAATTACCAAGATTATATATGTTTAGTGTAGCTACTGATTTAGACTTTTGAATCAAGTGGCTGGTAGTTATTCATCACTAGGCAGTTATGATGTACATGTATATATTTTTAGAAACCACATGTCCTTTTGCATTTAGGAAAATAAGAATGACATCTGACATGTCCTTTTGCATTTAGGAAAATAAGAGTAACATGTCCTTTTGCATTTAGGAAAATAAGAGTAACATGTCCTTTTGCATTTAGGAAAATAAGAGTGACATGTGCTTTTGCATTTAGGAAAATAAGAGTGACATGTGCTTTTGCATTTAGGAAAATAAGAGTAACATGTGCTTTTGCATTTAGGAAAATAAGAGTGACATGTGCTTTTGCATTTAGGAAAATAAGAATGACATGTGCTTTTGCATTTAGGAAAGTAAGAGTGACATGTGCTTTTGCATTTAGGAAAATAAGAGTAACATGTCCTTTTGCATTTAGGAAAATAAGAGTAACATGTCCTTTTGCATTTAGGAAAATAAGAGTGACATGTGCTTTTGCATTTAGGAAAATAAGAGTAACATGTCCTTTTGCATTTAGGAAAGTAAGAGTGACATGTGCTTTTGCATTTAGGAAAATAAGAATGACATGTACTTTTGCATTTAGGAAAATAAGAGTCACATATCCATATTTGGAAAATTATTTACTGCCAGTCTTCCAGTAAAAAGATACATTTTATATTAAAACCATTTCTACTGTTAGAACTTGTGGGATTTGTCTTTTAATTTGTTATTTGAAAATATGTTAGGACATTAAAGTGACACCACTGAGGTTTTATGACAGGACAGGACTGGAAATAATTTTTCAAGATTTATATTTCATTTGATGAAGGTCAAGATCAATAACTTTTTTTCAGATCATTTCCTCACTGTTTTTTTCCACATAAATTATATACATGTACCTCTGTTTTCTTTTTCACATAAATACTTCTAATTGTGAAAAAATGACCCAAATTTGAATGTTGCAATGATTTTCACTCAAGTTGTGTTATGGTTGCAATGTTTTTTACTCAAGTCAAATTAAGAAAAACACAAAAGGTTGCAATGCTTTTCACTCAAGTCGAGTTAAGAAAAACACAAAAGGTTGCAATGCTTTTCACTCAAGTCGAGTTAAGAAAAACACAAAAGGTTGCAATGCTTTTCACTCAAGTCGAGTTAAGAATAACACAAAAGTATGATTTTCAAGTCTTTCTGGGTACATTCCTTAATCATTTTTTGAAAATCTTTCTGTTTTAAGTGCCCCAGCCGATTGCTATAAGAATCCAAATTTTATGTATTTGGACTTTTGAACCTCCATGGAGTTCCTTTAATGTGAAACTGTTAAAGTAGTAAAATGTGCTTGCACTTGCCGTTTTAAACTTGCGGAAGAAGTACAGCTTTGAATAAGATTTAAAAGTTTTAATAAAGTTGTAAAAAAGTGATCCATGTTATTTAGTGACCTTGTGATACAGCTTCATCTATTTTAGGAAATGATGCAAGACATCTTTATCTATTTTAGGAAATGATGCAAGACATCTTTATCTATTTTAGGAAATCATGCAAGACAGCTTTATCTATTTTAGGAAATGATGCAAGACATCTTTATCTATTTTAGGAAATCATGCAAGACATCTTTATCTATTTTAGGAAATCATGCAAGACAGCTTTACCTATTTTAGGAAATCATGCAAGACAGCTTTACCTATTTTAGGAAATCATGCAAGACAGCTTACAGCTTTATCTATTTTAGGAAATGATGCAAGACAGCTTTACCTATTTTAGGAAATCATGCAAGACAGCTTTACCTATTTTAGGAAATCATGCAAGACAGCTTTATCTATTTTAGGAAATGATGCAAGACAGCTTAATATCTATTTTAGGAAATGATGCAAGACAGCTTTACCTATTTTAGGAAATCATGCAAGACAGCTTTACCTATTTTAGGAAATCATGCAAGACAGCTTACAGCTTTATCTATTTTAGGAAATGATGCAAGACAGCTTTACCTATTTTAGGAAATCATGCAAGACAGCTTTACCTATTTTAGGAAATCATGCAAGACAGCTTTATCTATTTTAGGAAATGATGCAAGACATCTTTATCTATTTTAGGAAATCATGCAAGACAGCTTTATCTATTTTAGGAAATGATGCAAGACATCTTTATCTATTTTAGGAAATCATGCAAGACAGCTTTATCTATTTTAGGAAATCATGCAAGACAGCTTTATCTATTTTAGGAAATGATGCTAGAACTTGCCCAGTATGTTAAAGATTTTCTATATGCCAATAATAAACCACCACCAAAGTCTTTCTATGAGGAGATGATGTCAAATAAGAGGAGACAGGAAGAAAAACAGGCACAGGAGCATCAGAGAAAGCAAGAGCAATTGAGGAAGAAAGAAGAAAAAGAAGTATGTACACCTTACCTTCTATCCTGTAGCCAGGCCCGTGTTCATAAAAATTTAAGGAACAGGATCAAGATCAGCTTCAAATTTAAAAACTCAAACATTCTGCATTGTTTATCCTCATAGATTAAATATTTATAATAACTTGATAAAATTGGACCTCAAATGGCATATTTATGAAATTTTAGCAAGAAATCGGCATTTTACAGATGATCCAAATATTGATCTTGATCCTCAAACTGATCCATATTTTGATCTAATTATTTCTAATTTTGTTTTGTTATTTGTCGATTTTATCCCAAAATAGGTTTTTTTCTTTGCAAATTAGCAATATTTTACATTTTGAATAAGTAGCATTTGATTCTAGGAAAATACGATCAATTTTAGTTTTCTAAAACAATGAAAATAAAATCAGGGTCCTTTGATCCTGATCTTTTCTTAGTGAACACGGGGCCTGGGTTCCAGTCTGTCAATTTTTTTATGTGCTTCTGTTTGGCAAATTGACATACATGTTTATACTATCAAAAACTGTGACGAGTACGAAATAGTGCATATGTTATGAATAAGCAAAAAAATATCAATGCCTGAATCCCAGGCTACTTATCCTGCATAATATGTCTAATGGATTTGCCCTGCTTTGAATATTGGAACAGTCCATTTGAAATTGAAGGGATTTCAGTATCAGAGTACAATGTATGAAAAACGAGCTGCCAACAGTATATAGATCCTGATTAGACTGTATTCTGGCTTAACTCTATAGTGGTGATAAAGGCTGAATTATCACTTTAAGGGTTGAGGCATCAGAATTGCAGCCACATTTAATCCCTGCTAAAATACTCAAGTTCTGTATGTGCACTAATTGCCATAGGATGGTCCAATTAATTGGCCAATGAGTAACCTTTTGGAATTTATAACAGGTTACCAAAAACAAAGAAGCTTTAGAGAGAAAAAAAGCATAATGGGCTTTTAATCAGTGAAGACATTAACTTGAAACTTTAAACATGTCTTACTTATGATAATTGTTGGTTGCTGTTCAAGAACCATCACTATAGTATGGAGTTTAACTGAATTATTCCCCTTTATGAAAACAGACAATTCTTGTTTGGTTATTGATTTACTATTAGATACTTAGAAAAGTTGAGTGTGATATACTATGTAATTATACAAGTATTTTTTTCTGGATATTCCACAGATGATGATTATAGAAGACCAAATACAAAAAAGAAAAGAAATTCTCAAAGAGGAGACAAGGAAAATGAAAGAAGCTAGACATGTAAGAGTTGTCTTTTCTAACAATTGCTGCCCTGATAAAAGTTTCTTTCTTACCCAAATAAAATTTACAATGTTTTGATCATATTTACATAAAGTAAGTTCTATACATTATCATACAGTATAAAAAATCCATAGCTGGTGAAATTGACTCACATGTTTTTCACATGACATTTAGGCATGTTGGAAACATGACTTTATTCCTAAGATTTCAATATATCATCTTCAATAAAGTATTGAATTTTTTACAGTTGAAGTAGTCCCTGCATTTATAAAGAAAATCTAAATAATTTTGTAATTCCCTTGCAATTTTTATTTGAATTTGCAGTTTGCCTTTTTTTTGTGTTGCCTCTACGGAGTAGTGGCGACATGTAGGGATCACTTCTCCTTCGTCTGTCTGTCTGTCTGTCCGTCACAAAACTTGTCCGGACTACTCCTCATAAACTACTGGTGCAATTTCATCCAAACTTTACAGGAATGATCAGTACCAAGTCTAGTTGTGCATATTGTCAGTATTTTCCGGTTCAATGTTTTTTGTCAAGAGTTATGGCCCTTTAATAATTTTTAATTTTAAAGTTTGTCCGGACTACTTCTCTTATACCACTAATTCAATTTCAATGAAACTTTACAGGATTGATCTGTAGCTCAAGTCCTTGCGCATATTGCACGGGTTTTCCGGTTGAATGATTTTTGGCCGAGTTATGGCCCTTTGATAAAAAGGTGTTTTTTTTCTGTGTGTTGCCAGATACACAAAAGCTTGTCCGGACTACTCCTAATAAACTACTGGTGCAATTTCATCCAAACTTTACAGGAATGATCAGTACCAAGTCCAGTTGTGCATATTGTCAGCATTTTCCGGTTCAATGATTTTTGTCAGAGTTATGGCCCTTTAATAATTTTTATTTTTAAAGTTTGTCCGGACTACTTCTCTTATACCACTAATGCAATTTCAATGAAACTTTACAGGATTGATCTGTAGCTGAAGTCCTTGCGCATATTGCACGGGTTTTCCGGTTGAATGATTTTTATGCTCCCCGAAAAATTTTGGGGGAGCATATAGTCGGCGCCTTGTCCGTCCGTCTGTCCGTCCATTTTCTTGTCCGGAGCATAACTTGAAAACCCTTGGAGATAATTTGTTTAAACTTCATACAGTGGTAGAGGGCATTGAGGGGGAGTGCAGTGTCAAAGAACCATAACTCTATTTTGCCCGGTTTTTGAATTATCTCCCCTTATAGAAAAATCTTGTCCGGGGCATAACTCTAAAACTATAAGAGATATCAACATGAAACTTTGTAGGTGAATAGATCTCAATGGGTAGATGTGCAGTGCATAAGAACAATAACTCTTTTTGTTCTAATTTTGGAGTTATTGCCCTTTGTTAATTTCAACACTTTGAACTTTGTCCGGAACATAACTCTAAAACTATAAGAGATATCAAGATGAAACATTGTAGGTAGATAGATCTCATTGAGTAGAAGTGCAGTGCAAAAGAACCATAACTCTGTTAAGCCTCATTTTTGAATTATCTCCCCTTATAGAAAAATCTTGTCCAGGGCATAACTCTAAAACTATAAGAGATGTCAACATGAAACTTTGTAGGTGAATAGATCTCAATGGGTAGATGTGCAGTGCATAAGAACAATAACTCTTTTTGTCCTAATTTTTGAGTTATTGCCCTTTGTTAATTTTAACACTGAACTTTGTCCGGAACATAACTCTAAAATTATAAGAGATATCAGGATGAAACATTGTAGGTAGATAGATCTCAATGAGTAGAAGTGCAGTGCAAAAAAATTATAACTCTGTTAAGCCTCATTTTTTAATTATCTCCCCTTTTAGAAAAATCTTGTACTGGACATAGCTGTAAAACTATAAGAGATATCAACATGAAACTTTGTAGGTAGATGTATCTCAATGGGTAGATGTGCAGTGCATGAGAATCATAACTCTGCCTTGCCTAATTCTGGAGTTATTGCCATTTGTTTATTTTTACTTTTTGAATTTGTCCGGAACATAACTCGGAAACCATAAGAGATATCAACAAGAAACTTTGGAAGGTGATAGATAACAGTGATTAGAAGTGCAGTGGAAAGAACAGTTACTCTGCCTTTCCTAATTTTGGAATTATTGCACTTTGAACTTTTTCCAGGGACATAACTCTGAAACTACAAGAGGTGTACTTTCCTGTGTCCAAAACCTATTCGGGGAGCATCACCCGGCTCAAACCGGGCTCTTGTTGGTTGAGTTATGGCCCTTTGATAAAAAGGAGTTTTTTTCTGTGTGTTGCCAGATATGCAAAAGCTTGTCCGGACTACTCCTCATAAACTACTGGTGCAATTTTATCCAAACTTTACAGGAATGATCAGTACCAAGTCAAGTTGTGCACTGTCCGTCTGTCTGTCCGTCTGTCACAAAATTCGTCCCAACATGAAATTGGCCATCATGAGGCGACACATGTGATCACTGATTGCTCTTGTTCTGTATATATATGATTAAATTAAGCTTTGGATAGCCATATTGTTGCTATAATTATATCTGTTAATACTTTCTTGCTATCATTTACTTATTTGTTTGCATAATATATTACCCTATTATCACTAAGGTTATTTTTTTTATGCCCCCGCCATGTAATGGCCGGGGCATATAGTGTTACCCTGTTCCGTCATTCCGTCCTTCCGTCCTTCCATCCTTCCGTCCTTCCGTCATTCTGTCATTCCGTCATCATCAGTTTCCGTTCATTATCTTAAGAACAGTTGCACACATTCAACTCAAATTTGACATATGGATATGTCATGAGAAAATACAGGTCAAGTTCGAATTTGGTCATGGTTCGATGATTTTTGGCAGAGTTATGCCCCTTTTACTTTGAAAATAATATGAAATTTTCAGTTTCCGTTCATTATCTCCCCAACGGTACAACACATTCAACTCAAACTTGACATATGGATATGTCATGAGAAAATACAGGTCAAGTTCGAATTTGGTCATGGTTCGATGATTTTTGGCAGAGTTATGCCCCTTTTACTTTGAAAATTATATGAAATTTTCAGTTTCTGTTCATTATCTCCCCAACGGTACAACACATTCAACCCAAACTTGATATATGGATATGTCATGAGAAAATACAGGTCAAGTTCGAATTTGGTCATGGTTCGATGATTTTTGGCAGAGTTATGCCCCTTTTACTTTGAAAACAATATGAAATTTTCAGTTTCCGTTCATTATCTCCCCAATGGTACAACACATTCAACCCAAACTTGATATATGGATATGTCATGAGAAAATACAGGTCAAGTTCGAATTTGGTCATGGTTGGATGATTTTTGGCAGAGTTATGCCCCTTTTACTTTGAAAACAATATGAAATTTTCAGTTTCCGTTCATTATCTCCCCAAAGCTACAACACATTCAACTCAAACTTGACATATGGATGTGTCAAAGGAATGCGCAGGTCAAGTTCAAATATGGTCGTGGTTCAATGATTTTTAGCAGAGTTATGCCCCTTTCACTTTGAAAGTAATATGAAATTTTCAGTTTCCGTTTATTATCTCCCCAATGGTACAACACATTCAACTCAAATTTGACATATGGATACGTGTTTGGAATGCCCAGGCCAAGTTCGAATTTGGTCATGGTTTAATGATTTTTGGCAGAGTAATGCCCCTTTCACTTTGAAAATAATATGAAATTTACAGTTTCTGTTCATTATCTACCCAACAGAGTTACATATTCAACTTAAATTTGACATATGGATATGTCAAAGGAATGGGCAGGTCAAGTTGGAATTTGGTCATGGTTTGATGATTTTTTGGCAGAGTTATGTCCCTTTCACTTTGAAAATAATATAGATACATCTTAGGAATAAGCAGTTTAAGTTTGAATTTGGTCGTGGTTCAATGATTTTAGACAAACTTATCTTTCCTGAATGTTGGAAAAATTTTGAACTTTCAGTTTCAGCACTCATACTTTTAGCCATTATTTTGGCTACAAATATGCAATATGCTATTTTTAAAAAGTTAAGACTGAATAATTTCAGTGCCTTGAACATTGTATGAAAATGGTTTGTGTTAACATTGAAAAGTTTTAAGGGCTTTGAACTTAAAATGAAAAAAATAATTAATGCACCATCTGAAATTTTGGCTGCATGCAGGGGCATCCGTGGCATGATGACACATTTCTAGTTTTATTATAAAATAAGCCGCACCACAACAAAACCAACATAATGGGTTTGCGACCAGCATGGATCCAGACCAGCCTGTGCATCCGCGCAGTCTGATCACAGTCCATGCTGTTCGCTTACCAACTCTATTACAAGAAGAGAAACTGATAGCAAACAGCATGGATCCTGCTGGACCCATGCTGGTCGCAAACACACTATGTTGGTTTTTGTCGTGACACGGCTCAAATTTAATAAGGAATTACCTCTTAGTATAAAGTGTGTTTTATTATTCAGGGAATGGAGGAACGATCCAGCTCTGTAACAAGATCACCAGTTGGTTCCCCTAGTACCCAGCAATCAGAATTAACTTTACTTGATAAAAAGGGAACCAGGAGATCACAGTCACCAGCTGTACAACATCAACAACTAGTCAGCAATGATGGAGAAGGGAAGCATGAACGAAAAAGGTAAATTATTGGTACTTTTATTGTCCATTTCAAAAAATGATGGAGTTTTGTTGATGACTTTTATTGAGTTCAGATTGATTATTTAACCTTTACCATGCTTTACCATGCTAAATATTTTAAATGGATTTGTCAATCTTTTGATGGGAAGATTTCAAAATACACACTGAATAGCGAACATTGCAGACCATGATCAGATAGCACAGATGTGCCAACTGATTGGGGTTTTGCATTTGTCAAATGGGTAGACTCTGTTTATTCCAACAGGCTAAATGTTATTAAGCAATACAATCTTTAATACTTTAACAATATGTTGTTCATGTATTTACAGATGATTATTTTGTCCATTGACATATTGTACAACTATTATATTACCTTGTTTTATAGGGGCATTAGTTGGAGTTGTTCAGATGACAATCACAAACATTGTAAACATCATACGGGTGGTATCGTGGTGCTAGCTTTTAACACAAAATCAGAGAGGATTGTTCATAGAGGAAGGTGCTTAGGTAATACAGAATATGTTTTTATATCATTCTCTCCCCCACCCTCGACTTCACCGTCACCTTATGGCTTTGTGATCAGAACCAAAGCCACACTTTATCCCTACCTGATCATAAGGTGACTAAATGGATTCGAATTACAAGGGTCTATTCTCTTAGCTCCAGCAGATGAGGTGGTTATAACCCTTGTTATTCCTTTAAAGATTGTAAAACCTGAGGTTAGTTAGAATCATCTTTCTTGTTTCGGTACCATATGACCTAAATTGTATGGTTTGCGGTAAAACCAAATCAAACAAAAAACAAATACCACTTTAACCCTTACTTTGGGAAGTGGTTGAGTTGTCTGCCTTGTTACCCAGGTATCATAGTGATGAGCAATACATAAGCTCCTAGCTGTCGGCACTTTTGAGCTTGAATAAATATTTTTAAACTATAAACAAATCTCGTAAACTAATTGCATAAAATGCAGGCAGTTTATTTTATACCTATAAAGTTGCTTGATTTAAGTAGACTGTTACTCATCTGTTGAAATAAACTCAGCAACTCCAAGCATTAAAAATGATTTACTTACTACATGTATTTGTTTACATGTATAGTTTCTTAGCTTAGGTAAGACTGTACTACCATATCCATTTTGTGTATTCTTACTACTGTGTTTGAGATCCTAATCCAAAAAATTGCGGGAGAGGGTGGAAAAGTTGCAATTTCAAAACTTCATTAGATGATCATTGATTATTGTAGGTCATGGTGTACATGGTAGTACAGTGTATGCAGGTGTTGATACAAAGACTGGGGACTTAGTGGCAATATCAGAATGGGTGTTAAAATGGAGGCACGTAGGTCGTAAATCAGCAAATAATAAAGACATCGAGGATAAAGAAGGGGAATCTTATATGAAACAGGTTACTTTTTTTCATTCCCATCAATATTTGGCATTTTTTAATAGATTGATAGTGTTTTAAAAAAGTTGGAAAAGTATTCAGTAATTCTCATAAAATTTTGGGTTGGTCATATTATTTTAACAAGACTTTTTTGGTGACAACTCCTTTGAAAGAAAGATGTCCTTAAAAAAGAATTTAATACATATAATTTACCTAAGGCATTTATTATTATTGTTTTCATCAAAATCATCATCATTGTCATGACCATCATCATCATCACATCATTGAGTGGCAGCATTGCTGAGTGGTTTACATGCCAGACTAGTAATCAATGGATTGCTGGCAGCATGGGTTCAAACCCCATCAGGGAAAAGCCATTGTTTGTGAGCAAGACACTTTTACACTCATTGCTTAGTACTGGTTGGTTCCAGGAATGGATTTGAAAGTATTTCAATAAGCTTACAGCTTCCAACACAATCTAACTACATGTAAAAGAAATAAGTATATAATTTAACTAACATCATCACAAACAATATCATCATCATAAACTTCATCAAATTATGATCATCATTACTAGTTTCACTTTCTTAATCACTGAATTTTGCAAACTGGACTTTTTATCCTATTTTAAAGATTTTAGATTCTTTACAAGGTTTTATATAGAATTTATATGAATGGTGTCTATAGTTGCGGTCATGAGTAGCGTCTAGGGAGATTTTACTTGTTATCAGTCTATATGTTATTATTGTTTGAATAAACAGGTGACAACGATGGAACAAGAGATGTCTTCTCTACTCAAGCTTAGTCATCGTAATTTACTTCATTATCTTGCCTTTAAATATGAAGAGGAAGCAGGAAAGATAACCATCTATGTAAGTGTAATTAGTAGAGAAAATCAATAGTTTTCACTTAATAATTGAATGTCTAGAAATTATGAAAAACACACCCTAAACATTTGCAGAAGCATATTTTATAGTAGTGATGACGAAAAAATGGTTAGCAAAATTCATGCAATAGGCATTTATAAACAAGACATATATATGAAAAGAACATGTTTTTTACTGAAAGCATCTAAACAGTTATGAAAAAGAATTACAGACAAGTATTTAATACTATTGATATATCCGTGTATCATTGATATTTGTCATCTGATATCTATATACTGTTGATTTGCTTTGCACTGAATCAATGACAGCTCTAGTAATAAGTAATTATAGCTATCTATGTTTGTCCAAGTGATGACTCATGCAATTAGCTCCGTCATGGAATTTGATATAATATACTGATCTTCGGATCAATTTAATTCAGTTCTTGGTGTCACACTTGGTATGCTAGCAATGTAAACATACCAAGCAATAACTACATTTGTGAATTAAAAAAACACTTCGATAATATTATAAAGATTAAATTTAATCTATTTACAGAAGTGGGGTAAAAAACAACAAATGTTATGATCTTTCCTTCATTTACGAAATCCTGTGTATTTGTAGTGTAATTTTGTATCATTTATTTGGTATATAAATAAGTGAACAAATAAAATCTCAAATTATATAAATCGCTGTATCACTTAACAGAAATGTAATAAAGATTCCCCGACACACTGATATATTAATGACGAAACTAAACGCGACACAAATAGCACTATAAGTTAAACAATTAGCATATACTTTATTCAGTAACACTTTGATTTTAAGTACGATAACGCTACATATTCATGAATACTAGAATAAAAAAATACACTTTTTGGACAAAAATGTGTAAGTTTAACATTTCTTATAGCATTATTCAGTAAATAAAAAAGTTAAAATATTCTAGGTATTGATGGAATATTCTGGTGGACAGAACCTGGACATTTACCTGACACGGAAAACATTGACTATGGATGTTTTGAGAAGTTACACAGAGGAAATGTTACAAGCTTTAGAATATCTGCATAATAAAGATGTCACACACAAGAATCTCAGGGTAAAATCATAAAAAACCTTTGTACCCCTTTTACCTGTAGGTGGCGAGGGGGATGCGATCTGCAATTGTCTGTTTGTCTTGCTGTCCTGCCATTGCCCTGTCTTCCCGTTGACTGATAGAACAGTTGAATGTGGGGGCCTCCATGTCCTTTGAGCACATTTCTAGTCTTACACGTACTTACAACATCACATTGTGTTTCTTGTTTCTATTGTGATGTAACCATGATCATATTTGAATTTACTCAATTTCATTAAAATCATATCATCGTTTTTGCTCCATTATTTTTCGCTAGGAAGCGAAGTGTAGTGGAACGAAAGTTAGGACATGATTTGAATGAGATTGGAAATCACTTCACATGTTATAAAATATAATCAATGAACTTTCAGTGTTTGCACCAGGTGATGAAAAAAGAAATATTATTGGGTCCAATCTTATCAATTTAGCTTAGTTTTAATTTCCAGAGTCCAAAAATCCATATCAAATGCATTTCAAACTCATTCTGGCCTCAATCTAATTTTCAGAGTCTAAAAATGCGTATCAAAGCCTTTTAGTAAGAATTTATAATAGACATGCTGACAAGTAGATGATGATAGTAGTGTGGTGTTCCCTATTTTTCAGGCATCAAGTGTATTTATAGACATGAATGCGAGGGTGAGACTAGCTGATTACAGTATTAATAAAAGGTACTACAGACCACTCATATAATTTTCTGATAGAAGAAAAGATATTTATTTTATGCTTTTCAGTGGATTACTGATTTATCCGTGAAAATTATATTTGATAATTTCACAGTGAAAATTATCAAAATATAATTTCACACTTTTCAATGACGAAACTACTTTCTTAAGATTTTCCCCATGTTGTACCTCAATTTTATTTTTGCTGACAATTCTGACAATGTCAGGCTGTTCAGAGAAAAGCAAAGCTGAAATTGATAAATAACTTAAATGTCAAAAGTAATAAAAAGAAGAAAACTTACTTCTATTCATTCAAATTACCAATCAACAAATATCGTCTCTTATTTATTTTGTTTCATTTTTACAGTCTGAAAAATACATTCCTTCCACATGCAAAACTGCTCTTGATGACATTTGGACATATTTAAGTATCCTATGAGCAATAACTGCTGTATGCTTTATGAAAACTTGAAAAGCAATGACAGACATCAGCCGGAAGAATAAGTAAACAACCCAGTGTTTGTTAGGCAGCCTTTCAACTTTCCAAGTTTTTGACAATTTCCTAGCCCCTTTTTGAATGTTTACACTTCTGTCAACACTTATATATTGTCTGTTACAATCCTCAAATAAGTTTTCTTTCTTTTAAAAAAGTGTATGACTAACAAATCCAAATGATATCCCTCTGAATCAAACACAATTATTTTCGTCCAATGAAATACACAACTTAAAAATGGCTTACATTTAACAATGTGGGTTTTTCAACTTTTTCTGCTGTATTATTTGCCATGTAATGGGCTGGTGGCCTGAAGCATTTTGTTGATAAAAGTTGAAAGAAATTCTGTTGAATTATTATTTATTTTGTGGTATATACAGATTGTGTGATCTATACCAGATGGTAGAGGATGGTAAACCTGGAGTAAAGTTCTCTAAACAGTCAGTATATGCTGGGAGAGGTAACAAAAAGGAGGATGTGTTTCAACTGGTAATAATAAATAATATACATATAAAATCTGGTCACTTATTCCCACCAGAATTTTTCACAATTATTTAAAAAAAAAACTGACACAGTTTTCCAAATATGGAGGGTTGACTGCAAAACTGTTGTAAGTCCTTCTCTATTTCATATAAGTTACTGCAGTTTTGCAGTCAACCCTCGGACTATTTTATATGTATATAGTGTAACCTCTGCAGAGCTGCTCTCTTTAGAGATTTAAGAGGTCTTGCTCCACCAGTAAAGCTGAAACATCGCCATATGACCATACTGTGTGGGTGTGAAGTAAAACCCAATCAAACAAACAATCAAAATCTTAGTACATTTTTCTCAAGTTTGATTTTCTTGAAATATTTTGGTATACTGCGAATTCAGTTATATTCGTGGGCATGAAATTTCGTGGTTTTATCAAAATGTGCCTTTTCATGGGTTCTTAAATTCGTGGATTTTCATTTTCTTGTAAAAAAAATTAACCTAATGTAAAGTAATCTTAAAATTAATCGCCGCGCATTTTTACTTACCGCATGAACATATCTTTAAATATCACACAGCGCTTGTCAATAATCTAATCCTTGCCTTTAGGCATAACATAAAGATAGCAATTACTGCCGATAATTGACTGCAATTAACACATTGATATGAAGCTCCACTATACACACTGCCCCTGTGATTCGCCGATGTAAACATTGCATAATTTATACGACCCCTGACACCTTTTAACCAGCGAGTTTAAAAAGTTTACACCCTGAATCGGTCTTACTTTATTTGACAGTAACTGCACGCAACATCACATCGACTGTGTAAATTTACATGCATATAAATTAATATGAGTAGATAATACGAGATTGTGCGGATATATTAAGAAGTCGGCAGCGTCTTTGATGTTTACGGTTGTACTTAACTTACGACATTAATATCAAAGATTTCTTTAATTACCTGATTATCTGTATACCATCATAACACAATAATCGACAGGAAAAGCGGCGATGCATGTATAGAATAGAAACATGGTTAGAAGTAATTGTTGGGATAAAATTTCGTCAGCTCTTAAATTCGTGGATTAACCTACCCACGAAGACCACGAAAATTCGTGCCCCACTAATAGTAATGATTTTACAGTATCTTGAGGTATGCATTTTCACTATTGGAATGTTTCTTGTATATATTTCAGGGAGTATTATTACTATCTTTGTCTCAGGGTACACCAGTAGATGATCTCATACCAACTGTTCCCCATACACTACCTCCAGTGTTCCAGGATTTTCTGGCCAAGTAAGTTTTCCACCAACCATGCATATAAAATGTAAAATAAATATACATTGCCATTTCAAAAAAAGGAAGCATTTATTCGTTTCTAAGGCAAAATGTGCCTTAAAATCTGTAGTCTTTAAAAATGAGATGGTCATGTTAAAAGTGGTGTTTTTTGACATGTGCAGATATATATTGCCTTTACCCTACTAATTCTTTGAATTTGGTTGGTGTTATTGAATAGTATCAAATTTCTACAATTCACCAGCCAATTAAGGGACCTCACAATTTTTCAAGATAAATTTTCCATTTGATGTAGGTCTAAACCAAAAAATTGTCTGCAAAATTTCAGATAATTTGCTCACACAGTTATTTCAGTTTAGTTACTCTAATTGTGAAAAAATTGGAAAACAGTGCAATGCTTTTCACTCAAATCGGGCTAAGAATAGTACAAAAATATGGTTTTCAATTTATTTTTGAGTGTATTGCTTAATTATCTTTTGCATATCTTTTTGTTTTAAGTGCCACAGCTGATTTTTTGTAAGAAATTCAAGTTATATGTCTTTTGGGGCATCATTTGAGTACCTTTAATATACAGCCTGGTTATATAGATTATGTAGACACACAACCTAAATACATATGACATAAGTTAGCCTAAAATGTCACTAATATTAAGAGATGAACTATGTCTCTACATGTATATATTTCTGCATTTCAGATGTTTAATGAGAGATGACAAGTTAAGATGCTCCTGTTCTCAGTTGCTGGACCATCAGTTTGTAAAGGAACCTATACCTCAACCACTGTCACCACAAAATGAACCAGAAAACAAACAAGTTAAACAAGGTCAGTATAGCATGGTTTACAATTATTCAAAAACAAACAAATATGCTCCTAACAAAATAATCTTTATTGATAGGTTATAATTTTTTTTGCTACTTTGCCACATTTTATGATTTAATTAATTAATTTTTTGTATATGAAATTTGTGCCATATTATACACATTTAAAAATGAATATCTGAAAGAAAAATGTATGTTTTGTAGAAGGTAAGGAGGACAACTCTTTTGATGATAGACAAGAATCGTCTCCCTTGGTTACTGATTGGGAGGCCAGTGGCAAATCTAGATTGACAAATGAGTTTGAAGTACTGAAATCACTGGGGAAGGGAGGTTTTGGTGATGTTATTAAGGTAAGATAATTACAAAGATGTGTAACTTAAAGCAGGACGCCTCCAGATGAGCAAAAATATTTCAATAAATCAAACTTGTGAAAAATGTATTTGGATTTTAGGAAAAGTAGAAAGATTCAAGTAATAATTTACATGTTTTGAGCAATTAATGGTGAATTTTTCATTATGTGTAACTATTTTTTACTGCGTTACTAAGGCAGTAAGGGCATTTTTTGCATATTTTGACCTCTTTTAGTAATTAATGTAGGTTGTAAGTGCCATTGATAATATGTAAATTGCTTCCTTTTGGTTACTTTACAATATTATACATTTGATTTCTTTTTCAAAATTTTCATGAAAATGGAGGCGTGCTGCCTTATTGATTCACACAAAATAATTGATTTAAAGGAACTAAACTGAGATTCGAAAGCTATACAATTATGAAAATTTGAATTTCTTTCATAAATCAACTGGGGCACAGAAAACAAACACATATGTAAAAGATAATTAGAAACATACTGGGAAAGAAATTGAAAATCGTATTTTTGTGCTTTTCTAAGCCCAATACAATGAAAAGTGTTGCAACGCTTTTCAATTTTGGGTAGTTTTCTTAGATTATTATTCTGAAAAAAACAGAGTAAGAGCATTATCTGAACTTTTGCACACAAGTTATTGGTCTAGCCCTACAGGAAATGAAACATTAATCTTGAAGAATTATTTCCAGTCCGGACACGTCAAAAAACATCAGTTGAGTTCATTAAATTTCATGTGATTATTTTGCTATTTATACATTTAAATTTTTTGAAATCTTATGTTAGTTTTGTTTGCTGAAAATACAGGTTGTATTCTAAGTTAACTTTTTCTTTTATCAAACTTGAAATCCTCAATTTCATTGAAATAAAAGATGCGTATTTTTTTTTGAAATTTATGATGCCTCATTGTTCAATCATATATATAATTTTATTTCTAACCTTTTGAATGCTAATGGCAGTAATTACATCCCAATCATGGGACAATTTTTGGGGACATAGCAGGGCATTATATGGTGTATTGATTACAAAAGTCAATCAGAGAGCAGCTAGGGTGCCTTCAGGAATTCTTGCCATGGACTAAAGTAAAACTTCCCAATGGAACTGTGGCTGAGACAGCCCTTTTCCTAGCCATTTTGGGAAAAAGTACCTAACCCAGATTGGGAAATTTTGCTCCAGGAATTTCTTAATCAAGAAATATATTTGGTACATTTTGAAACCGAGATTCAGAAAATTTTGACAAAGTATTTTGAATTGTGTGGCATTTTTTAGCTCACCTGTCACAAAGTGACATGGTGAGCTTTTGTGATCGCTTTTCGTCTGGCGTCCGTCTGTCAGTCATCCATCCGTAAACTTTTACTTCAAATGACATCTCCTCATTAAGTACTAAGCCAATTTCATCCAAACTTCACAGGAATGTTCCTTTGGTAGTCAACTTTAAAAATTGTTCAAAGAATTTAATTCCAAGCAGAACTATGGTTGCCATGGCAACCAAAAGAAAAAACTTAAAATATCTTCTTTTAGAAAACCGAAAGAGCTAGAGCTTAGATATTTGGCATGAAACATCTTCTAGCCAGTGTCTACCAAGTTTGTACAAATAAATGCCCTGGGGTCAAAATTAGCCCCGCCCCGGGGGTCATTGATTTTCCTTATTTGTATATAGTAATACTTAAAAAATCTTCTTTTAAAAAGCCCAAATAGCTAGAGCTTAGATATTTAGCATGAAACATCTTCTAGTGGGTGTCTACCAAGTTTGTTCAAATAAAAGCCCTGGGGTCAAAGTTTGCCCCGCCCCAGGGGGGTCATTGTTTTTCCCATTATGTATATAGTTAAAACTTAAAAAATCTTTTTTGGAAAAAACCCTAAGAGCTAGAGCTAAGATATTTATCATGAAACATCTTCTAATGAGTGTCTACCATTTTTGTTCAAATAAGGGCCCTGGGGTTAAAATTGGCCCCACCCTAGGATCATTGATTTTCCTTATATGTATATAGTAAAAACTTAAAATCTTCTTTTAAAAAACCCAAAGAGCTAGAGTTTAGATATTAAGCATGAACTATTTTCTAGTGTGTGACTACCTAGTTTGTTCAAATAAAAGCCCTGGGGACAAAATTGGCCCCGCCCAGAGGGGGGGGGGGGTCATTGTTTTTCCATATATGCGTATAGTAAAAACTTTAAAAATCTTGTTACAGCTAGAGCTTAGATATTTATCATGAAACTTCTTCAAATGGGTGTCTACCAAGTTTGTTCAAATAAAAGCCCCTGGGTTAAAATGGGCCCCACCTCGGGCCCCTATATACAGGTGAGCGATTTCAGGGCCATCATGGCCCTCTTGTTATTCCAACCATCACAGAATGAGATATCTACCAAAGCATAACAAATACAATAAGGTTTGGACAATAAATGTGAGGAAACATCTGTTTGTTAGATACAGAAATAAAATTCAGCAAATTTGTCAGTTTGGATATCAAGCATTTCAGTTCAAGAATTTCAGTTCAATTGGAAATTTTATTTCAAGATTGGGAAAAAAGTAATTATATTTGCCATTTGGAATGGGTCTGGTAATCTGACACATGGTTCAGAAAGTAACATTATGACCTTTACAATGTAAGTGTGAAAAACCTGACAAATCAAATCAAACCTTGTATTTGCAGGTTAAGAATAAGCTAGATGGAAGATTGTATGCCATTAAGAGAATACCCCTTGATCGTAAAAGTACACAGTTTAACAGGAAAATCACAAGAGAAGTTAAACTGCTGTCTAGACTTAACCATGAAAATGTAGTCAGGTAAATAATTTTGAATTAATTTATTGTTTTTACATGACAGTTTTTAGTCCCCTACCGGTTTACCGGAGGGGACTTTAGGTTTACCCTCCGTCCGTCCGTCCGTCTGTCCGTCCGTCTGTCAGTCCGTCAGTCCGTCCGTCCACAAAACTGGATCCCGCGATAACTTGAAAAGTACTGAAAATATTTTTATGAAACTTGGTATATGGATAGATGGCAGTATGGAGATTATGCACGTCTTTTTCTTTTCTTCCTATGTTGAAAATTCTGGTTGCTATGGCAACAAATAGGCTGAAAATATGGCAAATTTTACACATAAACTGGATCCAGGGATAACTTGAAAAGTACTGAAAATATTTTTATGAAACTTGGTATATGGACAGATGGCAGTATGGAGATTATGCACGTCTTTTTCTTTTCTTCCTATGTTGAAAATTATGGTTGCTATGGCAACAAATAGGCTGAAAATATGGAAAATTTTACACATAAACTGGATCTAGGGATAACTTGAAAAGTACTGAAAATATTTTTATGAAACTTGGTATATGGATAGATGGCAGTATGGAGATTATGCACGTCTTTTTCTTTTCTTCCTATGTTGAAAATTCTGGTTGCTATGGCAACAAATAGGCTGAAAATATTGCAAATTTTACACATAAACTGGATCCAGTGATAACGCAAAAAGTACTGGAAATATTTTTATGAAACTTGACATATGGGTAGATGGCAGTCTTGAGATTATGCATGTCTTTTTCTTTTCTTCCTATGTTGAAAATTCTGGTTACTATGGCAACACATAGACTGAAAATATGGCAAATTTTACGCATAAACTGAATCCAGTTATAACTCAAAAAGTACTGGAAATATTTTTATGAAACTTGACATATGGGTAGATAGCAGTCTTGAGATTATGCATGTCTTATCCGTTCTTCCTATTTTGATAAAATATCAGTTGCCTTGGCAACAAATAGGCTTAAAACATGGCAAATATAACAACAAAGAGCTGAAAATTTTTATGAAATTGCATCTTTAATTCAAGAGTTATCTCCTCTTTAAGAATTTTGCTTTTAAAATGTTATATTTTGGTAACAGGGATGTTTCAAATATTAACTTTAGAGTGTCCGTCTGTCTGTTCATAAAAACTGTTTCCTGTGATCACTTTTAAAGAACTTTTCCAACAAATTTACTTAAAATAGAGAAAAATTGAAACATTAGTGAATGGCCAATGGCCCTTCAGAATGTTGATGGGGTTCTAACCGGTAGGGGACTTATGGATTGCTTGCAATACTATGATAATTGCTTGTATTTTCAGTTATTCATTTATGAATAATTGTTTCATTTTCTATTTGTCTTGTTTTGGTCAGAAATTTATCTTAAGATTGATATACTTTGGTAAAGTTAGGACAAATAAATTTTTTGTCTTTGCATAGTTGATCCAGAACTTTGCAAAGCTAACCACTGGTACAAACCAACCTTTACCATTGTATTTTCTACCACTATTGTTCATTATAGATAAGTCAGCCTTTTACGTTTATTTTCAAAGTTTAATTGTAAAACTTTGTTTGAACCCACTGCCAAAATATTCTTAAATCAATGAGTCAAAATATTTCAAGAAAAATATTATTAAGATTTTAAGAAAGATTCAGTTTAAGCCAGTTGCCTCTAACCGCTCTGGGTCCAATCTGCGTCTTTGGGTTCTTCATGTGAAAAAGCTATCATGCTAGCTTACGGAACATCTGTGGTTTTACTCAGGCACCCGTTTGTGCCTGAAATAATGTACAATGGGGGACTTGAAGTCTATCTCCACCAGAAAAGCTGGAAAGTCGCCATATGACCTTGACTGTGTTAGTGTGGAGTTAAACCCAACAAATTTTATCTTTTATAAATACCAGGTATTACAACTCGTGGATTGAGACGAGTGATCAACCACCTGAAAGTGACTCCTCATCCTCGTTTACTGAAACGCCCAAAGATTCCGAGTCTTATAAGAAAGTTGCGCTTCCAAGTAACTTCCAAAAAGACTCGCTGGGATTTGTAGATGATATGGAAAAGTTTGCGCCACAGATTAATGTTCCCTCTGCAGATTTTAATATATCATACGAGTTTTCAAGATCGAAGTCACATGGTTACCATGGCAATGACATAGAGAGTTCAAGTGAGGAGGACGAAGATTTTGCTGATGTTTTTGGCTTGTCTTATATGTAAGCATTAAATCATATTCTGTTTCATGTTAAAGATCCTGTAACACAATTTTTTTGTGGTTTTAAATCATAAATATGATGCTCAAATTAAGATTTATCAATAATATATGTTCCAAAAAGCATTATTTATAAAGATATTACCGAATTTAACATTTCATGTAAATAAAGGGAGGTAATTAGAAATTGATTTTCTATAAAGTTTGAGTCAAATTTTCCAATAAGAAATGAATGCATATACATGTATTTTAATGATTACACATTATAATCACAAATATTTGCAGTACATATTTTACATATTCTTTGATGTTTGAAAATGGTTTTATTAGCATAATTATATACATATATTTAATTTCACTGTGTGTGGTTAACCACTTTACTCACAAGATACAGGATCTTTAACCATCTCTTAATACCTTATTAATAAGGGATTAGAAATTATTTCAAAACATGTAATAGAAAGAGCACCGAAACACGAGGTTATCTGATTTGTACGAGGGGGCATAGCCCCCCAGTATTAATCAGATTACAGAGTGTTTTGGTGTTCTTTCTCTTTTGTATCATAGTCAAACATAAAAACACGTTCCCTGTTGTCACAATATGAAACCCCGGCAAAAATGAACCAATGAACGAACATCTGAATATGATATTTCTGTCGCTTTCCCTTTCTCTGCCGTCACAATATGTAAACCCCAGCAAAAATGAGCCAATCAATGGGCAGGCTCTGGTAACTAATACCCGCACTCCAGTTAACGCACTGTGCATGTATATGTATACGATTTAACCCTGACACATTTTCAACAGAAAGGTCTCCAAACTATGATACAATACATTGATATAGGTATGAAGCTGCATCTAATTATTATGATATACATTATTCATAATGGGGTTGGCGAAGGGGAAGAAGATAAATCTTATTGTGGACATCTTAGAAATTGGCCATGGAATCTTTATTGTACAAGCTAGAGACTTGTAAACATGTACAACACAAACCTCTTGGCAGCAGTCTCAATCTGATTTATTGAAAAAAAATGATTGTGACACCTAGATTATTCTGACTGTTAAACATTTAAGATTCAGGACATCTTAGCATAACTTTTATCTATAAACAGATCTTGGTAGTTTCTTGTAAAAAAATATGTTATAGGTTATTTCAAATTGTCATCTCTTTAATGTAAAGTAAATAAATAAAATCTTTGGGGAATTTTATTATTGCAGGGGAGATAATTCATGAATTTATGGGGATAACTCCAGATACTGATCCAATCTCCACACAGTGATCTCCCCTTAATTCTTCGGCGTAGATCTCTGCCACCAAGGTCCCAATATATCAGAATTTCTGATATATTATATTTTTTCAAAAATTGTTTTATTTACTGCTCTTATCTATCAGTTAAGTTTTTTCTCATTGATTAAACAATGTTTATGGATAAATAAATAAATAATATGAATATTTAGAAATAATTTTAAAAATATGAGAATATTTTATACCGAGACAATATTTTGATATTTTATATTTTTTAGCTTTTGAATTTATTTTTCGTTATTTTGTATACTTTTGATAATTTTTTGATAAATTATATCGATCGTAGGCACTAAAAGTTAAAAATAAAACAGAAAGAGGAAAAAAACGTTAGATTTTCTTTGTAACGGTCGAAATTTACATTTGAATTTCGACGTTACGTCATGTGACTTTCATCATCATGTGACGTCTTTGAAGGCAGTGATTACAATTCTGCCACGGGAGGTAATCACTGTGAGGAGTTTGATACTGATCAAATTTCAATTTTAGGGAACATAATTTGTGTTATTATGGGAAATTTTCAACATATAAGGGGGATTATTTTAATATATTGTTTCAAATTTAAGTTACTTCAGGGATGACGTTTGTGATATTTTAATTTTTTTTTATTCAGGGGAGATCGTTCAGACTCTTCAGATGTTATCATATTTGAACACAATATGGATAGTGCTGATGATTTGATAAGTGTAAGTTAAATTCATATAAAGTTGTAAAAAGAAATGTCTTACAGTTAAAAGAATACAAGCATATTGTGGCTTGATACCTAAAATATGCAGAATTAGTAGATTGTCACTTGTGGTGAACTGGCAATAAATGGGTCTGAAATTTTCATGTAATTTTGTTGTGATTAATGCTTCTGAGGGATCACTTTGTTTCCAGATTTTTTTTGATTTTTTTTTTATGCCCCCACAAAATGGGGTGCATATAGCGTTCCACTTGTCTGTCCATCCGTACAAACCAGAGCTACATTATGGGGTTAGGTCTATTGTTCTCATAACAATAGATGTCTTTGATGTCATTCATTCCGTTTCTCTTGTGGGGTTATTTTCTGCATTGTGGGGTTAAAAAGAACAAAAGAAATAACAAAAGAAAACCCCATAATGTAGCTCTGGTAAGAACGTCTGTCTGTCCGTCCGTACATCTGTCTGTAAGTCCCGAAATCTTGTGAACGCAACTCCTCTTTAACCGGATGGCAGATTTTGCTTAAATTTCCAGGGATGAACAACCTTAATGTGTAGATGGTATTAAAGGAAGGAATTTTCGCTGCGACTAAATTTAACAGAATTATAACCCTTTGTTGATTTTTAGCTTTGCTTTCAACTTCATATTATAACAGAACATACTTAAGGTCAAGACCTTGTTGTTTGCTTTTTAATGACCTTGACCTTGAAGGTTAAATTACTGAAATTTCTCAGATTTGTGCATTAAATGACCATATATATTTATTGGTTTGTGTGTGTGTATATACAGTAAACTTCACTTATAGCGAACACGGTTATAGCGAACTTCCGGTTATAAGGAACAATTTATTTTGGCCCGAATTTTGCCCTTCGTTATTTAATATAAAAATATACGGTTATAGCAAACACGGTTATAAGGAATTATCACTTATAAGGAACTCATTTCGTAGTCCCAATTCAGTTAAAAGTGCATAAAATTACACTTTTATAAGGAACTCCAAATATCGGCTATTCGTAAATATATCCGGCATTTTCAACTTTCGTTTTTATTGGCATGGAATAAAACTCGCGGAATGTACCGTTTATTGTTGTATGTAATTCAGTATATGAAATTCAATTTGTATAGAAGTATGTAATAGTTTTCTATTTAGGATATTTTTAGCTTGAGTTCTTGTCACAAAGATAAAACGGTAATTCCTTTTATTCTATAATTTCTTTTCTTTAATAGTTTTGCTCGAGTAAAATAATAATCGGTTTTCAACAAAATCACGCATGCTTGCAAACATAATCCATAGAAAACTACAAAGTATGCTTGATTGAAATGAAAAGAAATCTATATATTTCATTAGTTAAAGTCACCCTTAAAATATAATAGAAGATATTCAATAAAAAAGGAAGAAAAATGGAAAATCTTGTTTATTCTTATTCATTGAAAGAAAACGAAAAGCACTGACTTAAGAAACAAAATATGATATTTTATGAAAAATTGAGAAAGGGAGTAAAACTAAAACTGAAATAGCAAAGTATTTTCAAATTCCAAAATGAACGCTCTCCTGTATTGTGTCTAAAAAAGAAATAAATGACTAATTATTCTTAATCAAATGCTCTTCAAAATGGCGGACGATGGTTAACAATCAGTTCATTATATGTAAATCTGTTCGCTATAAAAACTCCTGATACAAGGAACTAATTCGCTATATGCTTACAAGGAACTCCAGATATAAGGAACAGATTTTGAATGTACCAATGAGTTTGTTATAAGCGGAGTTTACTGTATATATATACAGTCAAACGTGTGTTAAACGACCGCCCAAGGGAAACACCAAAAACGGTCGCTTAATGAAACGGTCTCTTAAGACAGTCAGCATGATATAAAAGTCAAAATTTATAAATGACATCTTTCTTATGCGGTAGGAATGCTTTTTAACTTCATTTTTATATAAATGTTGAATAATTAGTACGCTCCGATAATCTAAATGGATGCAAATGTAAAAAATAACTTTCTGATATTTATTGACAAAACGAGGTGCAAAACAGTTTTGATCCATTACGTACATGTTTGACATTTTTTTCTAGAATTTGTTAACTTCTTCGTTGTTTTTCCTTGTCTCCAACATGAAAACCCTAATAGTGAAGATGTTTTCTGTTGTGCATTTTTTCATTCGAAATACTGAACAAACTACATCTAATTGTTACGATAAATTTAACTGCTGATCAAGTTCAAGGTCAATTCAATGCAGTCTATATGTCAACAAGCCAAGCGTATTCACCATCTCAATAGGGGCGGAGCGTTGCATTGTTTATCCGATATTATTGGATAATACACGTCACGCGTATACTTACAGTAACATGCCATAAGTATTGGTTAAAATGGCGGCCATATTGGATTTAATTGAGCATGTATGTAGGATTAGTTTCCCTTTGATCACATGCTGCCAATCAATGTTGACGTAAATACCACAGATATTAATAGCACAGCCATACTTTTAGGTGTACTTCATTTGCATACGCTAAACCGGTTTGGGAAATAGAAATTTTCACACGTTTATTTGTTGTGTTTTGATTGTTGACATACTTGTCACATTACAAGGCGGCGTTCTCTAAAAACACAATTACTTGACAGGTAAAAGTGGTCGTTTAGTGAAAAGCTTTATCTCAATTAGGTGACTAATTAGCGGTCGCTGGTCGCGTTGAGCAAAAGTCGCTTAATACATTAAAGATATAGAGAGAAAATGATCGGGAGGAATTTAAAGTGGTCGTTTAAGACATAAGTCGCTTAATACACGTGGTCGCATGGGCAAGTTAGACTGTATATCATCATAACCACATGACTTCACTACATGACACCACCATATCATCATCACCACGTGACTTCACTACATGACACCACCATGTGTCACCACCACATGTCACCAAGTTACTCAACCACGTGACACCACCGCGTGACTTCACCACATGGCTCTACCATGTGACTTTACCACGTGACACCACCACGTCACTTCACCACATGACTCTACCACGTGACACCACCACGTGACTCTACCACGTGGCTCTACCATGTAATACCACAACGTGACTCCACCACGTGACTCCACCAAGTCACTTTACCAAGTGACTCCACCACGTGACTCCACCACATGACTCCACCACGTGACTCCGCCATCTGACTCCACCATCTGACTCCACCACGTGACTTTACCACGGGACACCACCACATGACACAACCATGTGGCTCCACCACGTGACTCCACCACGTGACACCACCACAAGACACCACCACGTGTCAACCATGTGTATCTATTTATAGAATTGCATGTTTCTATTTATAGAAGTTTCTATTTATAGAAGTTTCTATTTATAGAATTGCGTGTTTCTATATATATATATATTAATTAGTATATTTATATATACAAAATATATAGACAAAACTTATGTGACAAGACAGACAGATTAATTTTATAAAAAGGAAACGTTTTTGATTTTGTTCAAACATTTCTTTGTTTGCTTATAGAGAAAGTAAAAAGTCGAGCATTGCCCCCGCCCGGCGGTGGCTCTTGTTTCTCTATATACTATGTAGAAATTTTGTGAACGCAACTCCTCTTAAACCGGATGGCAGATTTTGCTTAAACTTCCAGGGATGAACAACCTTAATGTGTAGATGGTAGTAAAGGAAGGAATTTTTGCTGTGACCAAATTTAACAGAATTGTGGCCCTTTGTTGATTTTTTCACTATATACCATATAGAAATTTTGTGAACGCAACTCCTCTTAAACCGAATGGCAGATTTTGCTTAAACTTCCAGGTATGAACAACCTTAATGTGTATATGGTAGTAAAGGAAGGAATATCTGCTGCGACCAAATTTGACAGAGTTATGGCCCTTTGTTGATTTTTTCATTATATACCATATATATGTTGTCAGTTGGGGAATCCGTGTCCTTTTGACACAGTTCTAGTTTTTTGTTACTCTGGAAAGCCATTCAGGTGGACCGACTGGCAAGATATGACTAAAAGTATGTAAAAACTTGCATTAAAACCAAGCAAACAATGTATTTATTAATTTCTAATTGAAGCGTTTAAAATCAACTAAATTTCCATTAAAAAAACAAAACAAAAACAAAACTGATGATATTTAGCATTATTAATTAATTTTTGTCATTATTGGGCCGGGTTGCACTGGTGCAAATCCGGGTTTATAGTATGGTTGAATGTTGGGGGCGGCGGGCGGGCGGGCGTCCGGGCGGGGCGGCGGGGAAAAAAACTTTCGTAACAGTTTTTCTCAGCAACTTCTTATCACAGCCTCTTGATATTTTGGCATACAGCATTGAACACATGGTCCATACTGTGGGATTTGATTTCAGGTCTGTCGCTCATAGGCCACTTCCTGTTTATCCACTTAGTTAAATTAGTTAGATTTTTCGAACATTAATGGTCAATAGCTAGGGAATTTTTCGTAACAGTTTTCTCATCAACTACTTATCACAACCTCTTGATATTTGGCATACAGCATTGGACACTGGTCCCATACTGTGGGAATTATGATTTCAGGTCTGTCGCTCATACCACTTCCTGTTTATCCACTTAGTTAAAATTAGTTAGATTTTTTTTCGACATTAATGGTCAATGCTAGGGGAAAATTTTCGTAACAGTTTTCTCAGCAACTACTTATCACAAAGCCTCTTGATATTTGGCATACAGCATTGACACATGGTCCCATACTGTGGGATTTGATTTCAGGTCTGTCGCTCATCCACTTCCTGTTTATCCACTTAGTTAAATTAGTTAGATTTTTCGACAATTAATGGTCAATGCTAGGAATATTTTTCGTAACAGTTTTCTCTCAGCAACTACTTATCACAGCCTTTGAATATTTGGCATACAGCATTGACACATGGTCCATACTGTGGGATTTGATTTCAGGTCTGTCGCTCATCCACTTCCTGTTTATCCACTTAGTTAAATTAGTTAGATTTTTCAAACATTAATGGTCAATGGTAGGAAATTTTCGTAACAGTTTTCTCAGCAACTACTTATCACAGCCTCTTGATATTTGGGCATACAGCATTGACACATTGTCCCATACGGTGGGATTCAGATTTCAGGTCTGTCGCTCATCCACTTCCTGTTTATCCACTTAGTTAAATTAGTTAGATTTTTTGACATTAATGGTCAATGGTAGGAAATTTTTTCGTAACAGTTTTCTCAGCAACTACTTATCACAGCCATCTTGATATTTGGCATACAGCATTGACACATGGTCCCATACTGTGGATTTGATTTCAAGGTCTGTCGCTCATCCACTTCCTGTTTATCCACTTAGTTAAATTAGTTAGATTTTTTGACATTAATAGTCAATGGTAGGAAATTTTCGTAACAGTTTTCTCAGCAACTACTTATCACAGCCTCTTGATATTTGGCATACAGCATTGACACATGGTCCCATACTGTGGGATTTTATTTCAGGTCTGTTCGCTCATCCATTTCCTGTTTATCCACTTAGTTAAATTAGTTAGATTTTTTTAACATTAATGGTCAATGTAGGAAAATTTTCGTAACAGTTTTCTCAGACAACTACTTATCACAGTCTCTTGATATTTGTGGCATACAGCATTGACACATTGTCCCATACCCGTGGGATTTGATTTCAGGTCTGTCGCTCATCCACTTCCTGTTTATTCACTTAGTTAAATAAGTTAGATTTTTTGACATTAAACTGGTCAATGGTAGGAATTTTCGTAACAGTTTTCTCAGCAACTACTTATCACAGGCCTCTTGATATTTGGCATGCAGCATTGACACATGGTCCCATACTGTGGGATTCGATTTCAAGTCTGCAGCTCATCCACTTCCTGTTCACATTAATGGTCAATGGTAGGAAATTTTTGTAACATTTTCCCAGAAACTACTAATCACAGCCTCTTGATATTTGGCATACAGCATTGACACATGGTCCCATACTGTGGGATTCGATTTTAGGTGTGTAGCTAATCCACTTCCTGTTTACCTACTGAATTAAATTTTCGACATTAATGGGTCAATGGAAAATTTTTTTCGTAACATCACAGCCTCATGATATTTTGTATACATATGCAACCCGGCCTTTTCTGTCTTTGACCCATTTTTTTACAACATAAGGAAGAAATGTATGCAAAATATCATATATATGCTAAATGTGGAGGTGTTGATTTACACTAGACTTTCATTACTTCAAAACTGAAAAGAAGACCATTAAATTATTATGAATTTTTTGCTCTTGTTATTTTCAGAAATAGGAATTTTATGAATAATTTTGTAGGTAAATGATGAACAGAAGAAAAATGAATCTGAGTGCCAAACTGTTACACCTGAGCCAAAACGGTATCTTTACATACAGGTTTGTTGAGATATTATTCATTGTCCAACTTGTTAAAGACTTTTACTGTTTTTCATTTCTCTGCTAAATTAGTGCAATAACACTTCTACTGCTTTTCACTTGTCTGCTAAATTTGTGCCTTGTTTTTCCATGGTTAAATTGTGTAATAAACTTCTACTGCTTTCATATTCTCTGCTAAATGAGTGCCCTGTTTTCCCTTTGCTAAAATAGTGTTATAAACTTCTACTGCCTTCCCTTTGTCCCAGTTTTTCCTTGGCTAATTTTGTGTAATAAACTTCTACAGCTATCTCTTTGTCTGTTAAATGTTTGTCCTGTTTTTCCTTGGCTAAATTTGTGTAAAAAATTCTCTACTGCTTTTCCTTTGTCTGCTTTATTTGTGCCCTGTTTTCCATTGGCTAAATTTGTTTAATAAACTTTTATTGCTTTCCCTTTGTCCCTGTTTTCCATTGGCTAAATTTGTGTAATAAACTTCTACTGCTTTCCCTTTGTCTGCTTAATTTTTGCCCTTTTTTCATTTGCTTAGTTTATGTAATAAGTAATAAACTTTTTACTGTTTTTCCTTTGTCTGCTAAATTTGTGCCCTGTTTTCATTTGCTAAATTAGTGTAATAAACTTCTATTGCTTTCCCTTTCACTGCTAAATTTGTGCCCTGTTTTTCCTTTGCTAAATTTATGTAATAAACTTTTAATGCTTTCCTTTTGTCTGCTAAATTTGTGCCCTGTTTTTCCTTTGCTAAATTTATGTAATAAACTTTTAATGCTTTCCTTTTGTCTGCTTAATTTGTGCCCTGTTTTCTTTGGCTTAATTTATGTAACAAACTTTTACTGCTTTTTCTTTGTCTGCTAAATTTGTGCCCAGTGTTTTACCCTTTGCTAAATTAGTGTAATAAACTTCTATTGCTTTCCCTTTCTCTGCTATATTTGTGCCCTGTTGTCCCTTTGCTAAATTTATGCAATAAACTTCTATTGCTTTCCCTTTGTCCCTGTTTTCCTTGGCTAAATTTATGTAATAACCTTCTACTGTTTTCCTTTGTCTGCTAAATTTGTGCCCTGTTTTTGTCCCCCGCCTTTTCGAAGAAAAAAGGGGGATATAGAAATAGGCTCCGTCCGTCTGTCCGTCTTTCCGTCCGTCTGTCCGAGCCAACATTTGATTATTATGAGTTTCATTCCGTAGTTAAATAAAGAACATAAACTCATAAAATTCAAATTAAGAGCTATTTTTTTTGTTTTTATGAGCTTATTTTGCTTATGGACGTTGGTCCAGGTGGTGTTTATGAGCTCATTTGCCTCATAAACATCAAATTTTGGTATGTCCGTCTGTCACACTTTCATGTCCGGTCCATAACTTTGTCATTTATTGAAGGAATCTGAAATTACTTGGCACAAATGTTTGTTATAATAAGATGATGTGTCATGCGCAACAACCAGACCCCTACCTCCAGGGTCAAGGTCGCACTTGCTCATTCAAGGTCAACATTGTCTATTTGAGGGTATATGTCGTGTCCGGTCCATAACTTTTTTATCTTTGAAGGGATTTTATAAATACTTGCCACAATTGTTCACAATAATTAGAAGATGTGTCATGCGAAACAACCAGTCACCTACCTTCAAGGTCAAGGTCACACTTGGAGGTCAAAGATTAACATAGTCTGTTACAGGGTATATTTCGTGTCCGGTCCATAACTTTGTCATTTATTGAAGGAATCTGAAATAACTTGGCACAAATGTTTGTTATAATAAGACGATGTGTCATGTGCAACAACCAGACCTCTACTTCCAGGGTCAAGGTCACACTTGCTCATTCAAGGTCAACACTGTCTATTTGAGGGTATATCTCGTGTCCGGTCTATAACTTTCTTATCTTTGAAGGGATTTTGTTAATACTTGCCACAATTGTTCACAATAATGAGATGATGTGTCATGCGCAACAATCGGTCACCAACCTCCAAGGTCAAGGTCACACTTGGAGTTCAAAGATTAACATAGTCTGTTATAGAGTATATATTGTGTCTGGTCCATAACTTTTTCTTATATCAAAGGATTTTGAAAATATTTGGCACAAATAGTCACTATAATAAGACAATGTGTCATGCGCAACACCAGCATCCCTACCTCCAAGGTCAAGGTCACATTTTGAGGTCAAAAGTTAACATAGTCTTTTAAAGGGTATATTATTGTGTCCAATGTAGAACTTATTCATAGTTCAAGGGATTTTGAAATAACTTGGCACAAATAGTCACAATAATAAGACGATATGTCAAGTACAACACCTGCACCCCTACCTCCAAGGTCAAGGTGAACTTACAGGTCAAAATAACAGAGTCTGTTATATGGTATATTTTGTGTCCCGTCCATAACTTCTTCATAGATCAAGGGATTTTGAAAATTCTTGGCACAAATAGTCACAATGATAAGATGATATGTCTTGCGTAACACCAGTGTCCCTACCTCCAATGTCAAGGTCACACTTAGAGGTCAAAGCTTAACATGATAGATTTTTAAATTCAGTGTTTCATTTTATTTCTTTAATAAATTTATTGGTGCATTTGCAGATCTAGCATTGATTTTATGCTTCATATAAAACTTCCCTGAGGCGGGGGCGTTGGTAACTGTTACAAATTCTTGTCCCTTTGCTAAATTTATGCAATAAACTTCTATTGCTTTCCCTTTGTCCCTGTTTTCCTTGGCTAAATTTATGTAATAACCTTCTACTGTTTCCCTTTCACTGCTAAATTTGTGCCCTGTTTTCATTTGCTAAATTTGTGAAATAAACTTCTACTGCTTTTCCTTTGTCTGCTAAATTTGTGCCCTGTTTTCCCTTTGCTAAATTTATGCAATAAACTTCTATTGCTTTCCCTTTGTCCCTGTTTTCCTTGGCTAAATTTATGTAATAACCTTCTACTGTTTTCCTTTGTCTGCTAAATTTGTGCCCTGTTTTCATTTGCTAAATTTGTGTAATAACCTTCTACTGCTTTTCCTTTGTCTGCTAAATTTGTGCCCTGTTTTCCCTTTGCTAAATTTATGCAATAAACTTCTATTGTTTTCCCTTTGTCCCTGTTTTTCCTTGGCTAAAGTTACATAATAAACTTCTACTGCTTTCCCTTTGTCTGCTAAATTGTGCCTGCTAAATTTGTGTAACATACTTGCCCTTCTTTCTGTTACACTGCTTAATTTGTATTTTAAACTTGTAAAAGCTTTCCCTTAGCCTGCTAAATTTGTTTAATATTTTTGTATTGCTTTCACTAATCCTGCTAATGTTGTGTAATTAATTTGTCCTGTTGTCATTTTTGTTGGTTTGACTGGTTCATTAATGTTTAACTTTGTTATTTGTTATAATATTTCTTGTTAGTTTTTCTAATGTGAATAAACTGCTCTAAATTTGTTGCTGTTATTATCATGTTGAACAAATTTTTCTTAACCGTTAACTAGAATGTATAGACTGGATACTCAGAGAGTTTAGTATTGTGCCGGCAACCGCAGACCGGAAGTCAAAATGCCTAAATTGGTTGTTCAGTATAGAGTTAGTCTGAGACTTAACATAAATCCAAACCGAATTTACTCTGTACTGCTCGCATTCAAAGTGTTGATTTCTTTACTTCCAGATGGAATACTGTGAAAAATGGCACCAAGAGACAAGGATGCAAGGTACTTAGGTACACTTTAGATAGATACATGGAGTCAGGTAGTGAGTTAGATTCAACGAGATAAGTGGAAGGGGTCGTGCGAATTCTTATGAAGTGCGACGGCAGGTACGATCATAATTCCTCACGGAGAGCTGGATGCAATAATATAGCAAGTTTTTCAAAATAAACTGCGGCAAAGGAGTGTAATAAAGCCATTAATGAAAAACGATATTACACTAGTGTATTAAAATTTTGACATGACGTCATTTTAACATAGCGTTAAAAGCGTTAATGTTTGCGCTACACTATAGGCGCGTCAGTGAAAAAAGACTCGTTCTTACTGTAAACCATTCTCTTTTTGAATACGTGATAAATAGAATATTAAACTTGTGTAGATTCAATACTAAGTTTATTGAACTCTTTGAATAAAACAATTAGAAAGAAAGAAAAAAATGAAAACAATTAAACCTACACTCATTCAATATCCTTTTTATGTAGGAAGTTGTGAAGGAGACATGTGTACAGAGGTAATGTTATATGTACAAAAAGAATGTTAGTTTTAAAGGAACTCCACTGAGGTCTAAAAAACCTAAAACACATATGAGCCGCGTCACGACAAAACCAACATAATGCGTTTGCAACCAGCATGGATCCAGACCAGCCTGCGCATCCGCGCAGTCTGATCAGGATCCATGCTGTTTGCTATCAGTTTCTCTACTTGTTATAGGGTTTGTAAGCGAACAGCATGGATCCTGATCAGACTGCCCTGATCCGCAGGTTGGTCTTGATCCATGCTGGTCACAAACACATTATGTTGGTTTTGTCATGACGCGGCTCATATTATTTAAAGTTGGTACATTAATCAAGTGAAGCACTTAAAATGCAAAAATTTGCAAAGGATAATAAAGAAATATGCTCAGAATTGAAATTCAATTTTTGTGCGATTCATAGCCCGAATGGAGTGAAAAACATTGCAATTCTGTTCATTTATAGGTTATTTTGCTCAATAAAAATGGTGATTCTGGAAAAAGAGGCGGGGGAATGATCTGAAAATTTGCAAATAAAATATGCATAGATCCCTGACCTGTCTAATTCTAATTATAAGATTGGTGGTATGGGTAGATTCTGTGACCACCAGCAGGCAAAGGGTTAAGGGCACCTATATGGTCCTTCTCTACTGATAAAAGCAAAGAAGTCACTAGGTGACCCTAACCTTGTCAGTATGACTCATTATGTAACCATTGACCTCTATAGTCAGGTGATTAAGGTCACTGATTTCAAATCACTTACAACTCTTACCTGTGGGATTAAATTATGCCATAAACACTAATTTCTTATTTGAGATAGCTTTCTGCTGTTTTTTCAAGGTGCCAGGTTGTGCTTCAAGTGAAGTATTGAGAGGTAACTAAGGAAAGCTGGAAATTTAACTTGCATCCATTAAAATGGAACTGGGCGAAATAAAGAAGAAAAAAAATGTTTTGAATAGCTGCAGTATGTTTTGGTATTCTGTAAAAATGATTTGATTTGTGTTCATGTTGAAAGACCAGGGTTTTTTATGTTTGTTTTTTTAAATGCACATTTATGTCAAAGGATCATGTAAACAGATCAATATTATTGAGATCCAATCAAATTCTTAGGATTTGAAATGTTTATGGATATTTTCTCAAACTTTGAAGTAAAATTTATCATGTTTTATTTGTAGGGTATGATACATAGGGATTTAAAGCCAGTCAACATATTCTTAGACTCCAATGATCATGTTAAAATAGGTGACTTTGGTCTAGCCACATCAGACGTTATATCAAAGGTAATAACAGTAACCCTTTCTATGCTAAATAAACTTGTCCATCTTTTAGTATTGACAAAACCATTCATCATTGTTTGGATATGTTGTAAGTAACTCATTCCTGCTGATTGTGGTCTGCACTGGTCACATGGGTAGAATCAGTTGCTGCCAACAGGCTGAGAAAAACTACAAGAAAAGCCCTATTAAACGCAATTAATTTGAATAATGAAAGTAATAAGTATTTTAGTCTACATGTATCTGAAGACTATAAATTGACTTTTTTGAATTGTACAGTTTCCATATAATTATTTATTCACCAATCAATTTTTAGAATAATTACATACATCTTGCATGTCTTATATACTTTGAAACAAAAGAAGAACATGGGTGAATTCTTTCAGGTATTTTCCTGAATTTCAGTCATGAAGAAAATCATACTAAAGTTTTCAGGGTTTTTTTTGACAATTTAAAGTTTTAGTAATGGAACTTTTTTTGCTGACACTATGCAATATTACTTTATGTCACGGTTCAGAACTGTTCACTAATTAGGGGAGATGATGTGTAAGCGGCCAGATAGCTCAGTCGGTAGAGACGCGGAAAGGTATTCCAAGGGTCCCGGGTTCGAGTCTCGGTCAGGCTGCACATTTTTCTCACCCTGTGACATTTGGCGCCCAACGTGGCGCCGTGACTGCATATAGCTCAGAGTTTAATTCATATTGCTCTGTAACTCTGTGAAATTCGAGGACGAATTTCAATAAAGCAGGGGAGTATGTCACGGTTCAGAAATGTTCACTAATTAGGGGATATGATGTGTAAGTGGCCGGATAGCTCAGTCGGTAGAGCCGAGGAAGGGTATTCCGAGGGTCCCGGGTTCGAGTCTCGGTCAGGCTGCATATTTTTCTCACCCTGTGACTTTTACATGTAATTTCATTAATTTCTCTTAAAACAACAACAACAACAACATTTACCAAATTCTTTAATTAAGGCAATTTCAGAATTCAAATTAGAAAACTTTATCAAATGTATTTTACTAATATATTTTAAGAATATTTTAATAGATGAAGATGCCATCGCGATGAATGCCTCGGATGCTGGAGATAACAGTCGACATTCTTCACGGCTCGGCGTAGTCATGGGGACTTACAGGTCGTGGTTGGTATAGCTTATATGTCAGTTCCACGAAATGAATGATTAAACAGAACAGAGGTACTTACAGTCAGGTATGTTGCTTTTTGTTACAAATTAAGTCAACAGAAATCCCAACTCCCATGCCCTGCCTTTGATGCTGTCTTCACTCTCTCCCCATTCTGTTAGGTTCCCTACTGGATACCTTTTAAGTCTATCTTGTAAGGCTGAGTATTATTGTGGGGCTGTGATCCATAAATGTTGCCCTATCCAAATTTTTTTCCGGACTTTCAGGATTTTCAGGACTCTTTTCTTACTTTAATGTTTGGGGAAATAAAACAAATATTAAATGGGGTTTGTGTGGCATTAATGTATTATTAACCCCTTGTATGAATGTCACACAGTCTGGCATTGAGATCCAATCTAACTTAGTTAAAAAAGTCTTGTAAGTTCTGGTATTTTTGTTCCAACCATCCAGGTAGTTCAGTAGGTAAAGCATTGGACTGTGGATTAGGCCTGGGTTCCATTCTTGGACAGTGTCACTTTAAGAGTTTCTTTCTATGGGCGGTCATTCACACTGTACCTCTGCTCTCGCATGATGTTATCAAATCAGTTCCTTGCAAACGTGAAGGCATCTATATCTGGTAAAATGCTTGACAGCCTGTCCAGGAACGATGCAGTGCTTGAACTGTGCTCTGGTGAATTCAGTGTGGCTTACAACTCCCACTACCACCAGTTTATTTCTTTAAATGTTTCAATTATCCAGATATTTTGTTTGTTCCTTAACCTAATTTATCACACACCCGTGCTGCTTTTGCGACTCCGTAAAAATGATATTGCTCGGCCATGCATATATTTTGACGTGACGCCATTTGCATTATATAAACGTAGCTAAATGCTAGCGTTATACTATAGGTGCGTCAATGAAAAATGTTTCTTTATTACTTCAAACGGTCTTTATTTTTGGTATGTGATGAAAAGAATATTAAATTTGTGTAAGATAATTACTAAATTTATTGAACTCATTGAATAGAATAATTATTAAAATAATATAATTTTATTCAACTTGTTCAATACATTCAGTATTAAACTTACACTCATTCAATATCCTCTATAAAATCAACCAAAATTTAATTCCAGTTAGAAAGAGATAGAAGCTAAATCTTGTCAAAACTACACTTTATTTATTGTTTCAGAAAGTAGATATTTACAGTTTAGGGGTTATCTTCTTCGAGATGTGCTACAAACCATTACAGACAGGAATGGAGAGGGTGAAAATACTGGGGGAATTAAGATCACCTGAAATTATTTTTCCCGATGATTTCGACCAGATTGGGATGGAAAACCAGGTAATTTTTACTGTTTTTATTAGGGGTGTCATGATAATCTATCTAAACTGGTTCACATTATTTCATGTGAGAAATCTGTCTGGCTAGCTTACAGAACGTCAGTGGTTCTACTGCCCGTTTGTGCCTGAAATAATGCACAGAGGGAGGGGCACCTGAGGTCTTCCACAAGCAGTAAAGCTAGCATATCGGCATATGATCTATAATATCTTAGCATGACATAAAATCAAACCAAAAAAAAAAAAGAACTGAACAGGGACAGTCATGTTTTTTGTAAAAAGATTTAGTATCTCTAAAGTTATCATTACTTTATTTTCTAATTAAAGAATAGAATTGAGATATTTTTGTTTTATAATTTTACAGTGTCACATCCTTCGCTGGCTGCTGAATCATGATTACAATGAAAGACCGACATCGAAGGAACTTTTAAAATCTGACCATATACCCCCGTCAAAGATGGAGGAGGCGGAGTTAAATGAAGTGTTGAGATCGGCCATAGCTGACCCGCAGAGTAAATCGTACCACCGTATGATCAGTGCGCTTTTCACTCAGACCGTCAGTCTAGCTGATGACCATGTTTATGACAGCGATATGCATAAGGTAGGTTGGTCGTCATGGATATTGTAGTGCTACCTTATTATTTATTGTATTTTATCTTGCTAATATAACTATGTCATCGCTGTCACAAGCAGTAGATGTTAATTTGGTTTTGGAGTGATGTATGTGGATATATTACCTGCCAAGATTTTATATCACCCAAGCTGGTAGGAGTAAGACGATTTAAAAATAAGTCATTGCTGTTTCAAATGAAACGTTGAAATAAGATCCCCTTTAGGATACCCCTTCACTGCAAAATGATGTCACTGGAGCGCAACATGGAACAATATGTGCATCGTCTCAGCGCATGTTGTTTCCAATGTGGGGTATCCAAAGGGGAAATTTGATTTGTATATTTACCTGTCTGGCTCGGTAATATCAATTTCTTTCGGCAAATCAATATCGAATCAAAATGGGGAAAACAATCTGGATGGGTAATAAATTTATATATTTGTTGATGTTGACATGCTGTATAATACTGAATAATCTTTCTGCTGCTGCTTGTTTTTTTGGGGAAGATGTAGAAATGAAAAGGACTTAATTTCATTAATTCCTTTTAAGTGATATTTACTTTCCAGATTCATACTAATTTTCATGAAAATTTTGAAAATGTATTAAAAAAACAAATATTGTTTAGTGAACAAAGAAAATAATTTACAAATTGCAAACAGCACTTACAACCAATGTAAATTACCAAAAAAAGGTTAAAATTTACAAAAATAGCCTGTATTGCATTAGTAACACAGTAGAAATATGGTGAAAAGTACTGTAAAATTTGTCCTTAATTGCACATAACTTGGAAATTATTACGCTGTTCCTAAAATATCAAAGAACGCTTCCGATGTTTAATCAAACAATTTGATAACAAATTTTCTGTAGAATTAAAAAGTTCTGTATGTTCACATGTTAATATATCAATATGATTTTCAGGGCAGTATCTCAATGAAAGCTTCACTCACGCAGCAACTTGTGAGTGATACTCTAGAAAAAGTGTTTCAGCGTCATGGTGCCATCAAACTTAACACTCCACTACTCATGCCACGACAAAATCTCTACGAAAAAATCGACCATTTTGCTAGCCTCATGGATGACAGCGGGAGACTAGTCGGTCTACCTTTCGATCTCAGAGTGAGTCATTTGCTGTATTTTAATTTGTAGTAAATGATCTAATTTAGAACTTAAATTCATAACACTTTTCCAAGAATCTAGTAGAATCTATCTTTTAAATTTCTTAATATAGAATGTTGTTGTATGCTAAATTACACTCTATTAAAGACATCAGGGCTTAATATATAAATAACACATGGGTTTGTGGGTAACAGTAAAAATATCATCCCAAGGAAAATACTGTTACCCAAGGCGTAGCCGAGGGTAACAGTATTTTTACGAGGGATGATATTTTTACTGTTACTCACAAACCCATGTGTTATTTATTTTATTACCCCGAACAAAAATACTGTGATGATCTGAAATTGTCAACTAAATCTAACTGTAACAAAAATAAACCAAGAGTAACAATAACTTAACTGTTCTTACCTTTTAAGTTTTAAGTGTACTTTAGGCCTTCTTGAGAAGTTTTCTTTTTCTTTTATTCTTTAAGCAAGTGATGATATCTACAAATCATAAACATACAATAAGCTAGGTTTTATTTAGAAAACAAAACACTAACCCATTTATAAGGTTATGATCTGTGAAATCGGATCCTTCTGTTTCCAGAATATTCTTCACATGGTATTTGACAAAATAACGATGATATCCTATGTCTGTCCACCATATCTGTAACGTTTCACTGATTAAAATTGTTAAAAAATCCTTTGTGGCATGCTTAAATCGTCTGCATGTTCCAGTTTGACACATAATTATTTACATTGCAATTACTTCCGTTGAAAACGGATGTTAACTTTTGACTATTCAACAAAAAGATATTTTATACGCGAAAAGCACACCAGGGTGCAAACAACTAAATTTTATGGGTGTCATAGTTACTCCAGAGAAGAAATTGATGTCCTATCAGGGTTTAACGTCGAAAATAAGAATGAATCGAGAAAAAATGGCGGCCATTTTATTTCATTTTATTTAGAAAATAGACCACATGACCAAATTTTATACTGTTAAAAATACTGTTACCTATGTAACAGTACAAAATTCTTAGTCACGTGGTACACTTGCATTAACAGTAAAAATAACTCCCAGAGGCCTATGGGAAATTAACATTACGAAAAAAGTGAGGGGTAATAATATAAAATGTTGTTGTATGCTAAATTACACTCTATTAAAGACATCAGGGCTTAATATAAAATGTTGTTGTATGCTAAATTACACTCTATTAAAGACATCAGCTGTCTGTAGCTAAGTGGCTGAGGTTGTTGACTTCAAACCACTTGTCTAACATCACCGTGGATTCGATTTCCAAACAGGGATTTTGGATTTTTTTTTCATGTGAGGAAGCTAGCCAGCTGACTTATGAAACGTTGTTGGTTCTACTTGAAATAATAGACAGAGGTGGCACCTACACCAGTAAAGCTAGCAAATCGCCATTTGACTTCAACTATGTGGGTGCGACATAAAACCCAATCATCTAAAAATAAATATACTGATGTTATAAAAAATTTTATGATATTTAATTTTCAGGTACCGTTTGCTCGTTTTATAACTCGGACCAGTACTAGCTACATAAAGAGATACTGTATAGACCGGGTATACAGGAGGAAGAAAGTCTGTGGATTTCATCCGAAAGAATTAATAGAGTGTGCGTTTGATATAGTTACTGCAAACCCTTTGTGGTAAGATGATATGATTTCTGTTTGTAAGAATTATGGGATCACAAAATATCTGAATAAAAATGTTCTTCATAAAGATATTTATACAGAATTACATTTAGTCTCATTTAAAGTTATTTAAATGAAATAAAGAAAAGAAGATAGTACACTGCAGTGTTAAATTTTATTATTATACCACCCCCCCCCCCCCCCACGAAGTTGTAAGGGGGGGTATACTGGAATCAGCTTGTCCGTCCGGACATCTCCCCGTCTGCCGGTTTTTCCTTGTCCGCCAAATAACTTGAGATTCCTTTGGCCAACAGTCTTCATATTTGGCATGGAGGTTAGTCATGATTAGTAGATGACCCCTATTGATTTTGGGGTCACTGGATCAAAGGTCAAGGTCACAGGGGCCTTGACTTTAAAAAGCTTGTCCGCCCAATAACTTGAGATTCCTTTGGCCCACAGTCTTCATATTTGGCATGGAGGTTAGTCATGATTAGTAGATGACCCCTATTGATTTTGAGGTCACTGGGTCAAAGGTCAAGGTCACAGGGGCTTTGACTAAAAAAACCTTGTCCGCCCAATAACTTGAGATTCCTTTGACCCACAGTCTTCATATTTGGCATGGAGGTTAGTCCTGATTAGTAAATGACCCCTATTGATTTTGAGGTCACTGGGTCAAAGGTCAAGGTCACAGGGGCCTTGACTAAAACAAAGCTTGTCTGCCCAATAACTTGAGATTCCTTTGACCCACAGTCTTCATATTTGGCATGGAGGTTAGTCGTGATTAGTAGATGACCCCTATTGATTTTGAGGTCACTGGGTCAAAGTTCAAGGTCACAGGGGCCTTGACTTAAAAAAAAGCTTCTGACTGGTGGTATGCGGGGGTATTCAAGCCATGACAGTGGCAGTTCTAGTTGTTATTATTGTTGTTATGATTATTATTATATGACACCTATGTAAACATTTCAGCTTAATTCCTGATGCAGAGGTGTTAGTTATTGTTCAAGACATCATAAACGAATTTCCACCATTGCAGGTACTTGTATTCATATATTATTATTACTAAACAAAGGATGAGTGTTTTTTTTAAGTTACAGTATATATTTTTATAAGAAAAACACCACTTATCTAAACTTTGTGTATAACAACTTGGAGTTATTGCCTTTTTAACATAGAATTTCTTTTGTAGAATTTTTGTAGAATTTTTAACAGATGCGCAATAATGTTTTGCTTTTGTTTTGCTAAAATGATAACATTTATTTATTTTCTATGTTGTAGCAAAGAAATTACTACATAAAACTGAATCATTCATCATTAGTGAAGGCAGTTTTATTACACTATGGAATACCTGAGGATAAACATCAACAAGCTATAACTACACTTACTGAAATAAAGGTACACATTTTTCATTCATAATTGTCTTTTATTTTAGATTTGTTGTTTTATTAGATTGCTGCTGTTGTTGGGTTGTTTTTTTTTTGGGGGGGGGGGGGGGTTTTTTTTTTTTTTTTTTTTTAAGGTGGTTCTCAATTTGGTTTAATGGTTATACTATACTATTTGACTACAAATACAATGGTGTCTTCATCATTTTTATTCAGCCAGCTTACAGAAGGTTGGTGGTTCTAATTGAGTACCCACTTGTGCCTGAAATAATAGACAAAGCAGCACATATCTTAATCCATCAGCAAAGCTGGAAAGGTGTATATGACATGGAACTCACTTTCAATCTTGTCTGTGTTGTCTACAGTCTTTGAAACAACAAGTTAACCCTCTGAATATTAGTCATTTGAATTAATGCAACTTGACTCCTAGATGGCCTTGACAAATATTGTTTGATTTGCATATTCCTTTAGTTTAAACAAAATTTATTTTAGTTTGATTGTGTAGGTCCCTATGAGCTTATAGACACAATCTAGAATCCGTTCCTGCAACCCACCAGTATTGAGCAATAGCGGGAAAGTGTTAAGTTTTTTGTATTGTCCGACAAGGTTTGAACCCCTGCATCTAGCAAACTTTAGATGGCCAGTCAGACACATTTACCATTCCTTTGTGATTGGTAGGCAGGAATTGTGTTAGATAAACATATACTTTATATATGTTTTTAATTCATAATTTGTTCCGTATGTGAATGAAATTTATATTTGACTGTATATTTGTTCTGTACAGAAATAAAACATTGAAGTCATATATAGAGAGAATACATACATGTGACAATTGAAATGGGCCAAAACTGGATTTTCAGCTGGGTTTAGGGACTCAAAACTGGACTTTTTATCGACTCGAATTTCAATGCGTGTTTGGCGCATTTGGTTTAAAGAACCCATGTAACCCTCAAAATGACAATTTTTTTTATGTTCTGAACATCATTTTTGGCCGGGTTGCACAGATGCAAACCCAGGTTATAGTATGGTGAATGTCGGGCAGCAGAATGGAGGTGAAAATATTTTTGTAACAGTTTTCTCAGCAACTACTTATCATAGCCTATTGATATTTGGTATACTGCATAAACACTGTGGGATACAATTTCAGGTCTGTTGCTCATCCACTCCCTGTTTAATGACTTAGTTTAATTTTTTGGACATTAATGGTCAATGGTAGAAATTTTTTGTAACATCATCATGATATTTGGTATACAAATGCAACCTGGCCATTTCTGTCTTTGACCCATTTTTATAATTTTATATTGCAGAAGGACAGTAAGTCTCGTCAGAAATTGTTATCTACGTTGTCAATATCTGACCAATCAGTGTCTATGTTACTCACTCTGATGGACACGGAGGGAGATTTCAGTAAAATTGACAGTATGCTTAGAATGATCACAAAAACAAAAGGACAGGTGTGTAACAATTTGTGATTTACCATCTGTTTTACTAGGACATCCTTAATTAAATATTGATTATTTACAGTTTTGAAATTGAATTATTGTGCCGCTCATAACATAATTATTTTCTGAAAAACAAACAAAAAATGTTAGGTAAGAAAGCAATCTTATAACTTCATTATTAAAAACTTTGATCGTGTATTAACCTGTTGACTAAGTAAACTAACAGTTTTAGAAAAAGTCATTGGCAACTTGTGACTTTAATAATGCAAAATAGAGCATTTTCATCAGCTAAGAAATGTTCAAATTACCACAACAGAATTAATAGGACTCAACTCTTGAAGTGATATTTATAGTATTTAAAGACCTATACCTCCAATTTAGAGCCAAATGAATCTGTGCAACTTGCCAAATTTTAACACAGAAATCTTATTGTCACACCATGACCAAGTTCATTATACAAATTTATCAAACAGATAAAAGCCCAACAAAAGAAAGTAAATAATTTATATACATGAATATCTAATACAGGCTGGTTCCCTGGCAAAGCAAGGTTTACATGAGATAGAGGCTGTCTTTACAAAAGCTCAACATCTTGGATTAAAGCTCCCGGTAAGTAAAGTTCAATAATCTATGATATATCTGGGAATAATCGTTTAATATGCTCTATTATCTATATGTCATATACAGTACGCTCACCGCGGGTTTTGCTTTTTCCGCGATACCACCGCGGACGATTTTTTTTTATCGCGGACAAACGCGGGGGTTCGTCCGCGATGAGAAGCCTAATTTCCCCGCGATCCCCTGTGTTCAGTTGTTTCCACCGCAGACAAAATTCTGACGACCGTTCTTCATTTATGGATAAAATCAGTCACCCGTTTCCCGCGGGGGAACGCCATGGTCAGTTGGTCAGTATGAATTAACCTCCAAAAATAATAGACGTTTTATTATTTTTTAACTTCATATTTTTTACACAATGACTTGAAAATTGACCACAATCGTCTCCTTAAATATTATTATACGTTAAATTATTTGAACGGAATTTGAAATAAAAATAATTACAGCTGTACCTGTTTTTGTTGTTGTTTTTAATATTTTTGTTATAAACGTCCACAAAACTATTCGTCCACATACCAATATTTTTACAACTGAAATCGTCATTTATCACTGTCATCTTTACTTGTTCATTCCTTGTGGTTCTATAAGTATTATTGCTGTTAAACTATATGGGAGCCAGAAATATGATACTTAGTAAAAAAAAAGGACATTTGTGCTGATTTCTCAATGATGACTGACGCTACAGTACATGTCCTGTAAGAGGTCGATGAGTGTGAATACAAGACAGGACATAAATAAAATACATGTACATATATTAGAAATAAAAGAAAAAGATATTTAAACCATCTATAAGATTTTATTTGTATGCAATTATATTCTTTAAAAACGGGTAGACTTGTTTGTTTGTGTTTTTTTTTACAGTAAAAAACCCGTCGAAAATGGACATGAGAAATGTGCATGACACTTGCCAAAAAGTTTATGTATACTGTACATACCGTATATATATTTGACACAAATTCAAAAAGGTTCTCTTTGCCATCGTGTCACATATTGTCGGATATTGTATATTGTCAGATATTGTATATTGTCATATTTTCTATATTGTCAGATATTGTATGTGTGAAAAGGGGACATGTCGCCGCTACTTAATATGTATTTAAATAGTAGTATTATACATAAATGTTCATAATTCGTTTGTGCTACACAAAGAGAGTTCTTTAAATGCTTTAAATTTAATTTGCGTCTTTAGTAATTAGTTTTCTATTAGTTTCTATGAGTTAAGACTTTTATCTTTATAACGTGTAAGTTTACAATTAAGTGAGTTACATCGCTCTTTATATAAATTAATTGTGAGTTACATCGCTCTTTATATAAATAAAGTTTAAAAAGGTCGTATAATGTAAACTTAAAAATGGTTAAAGTGACACATTTTGATAAACTTGAAATTGTACGGCTGTACACAAGTGGTTTGAAAAATATTCAAATTCAGAGGAATTTAGAGTCTAAAGGAGTTTCTCCAGACAAAACATTAACTATTGGATTCGCCAGTATCTGAATGGGTCATTTAACCCAGACGAGATCGAGTCAAAAGTGAGTGAGTGTAAAAAGGTTTCACAGAGAGATGCTGACCTTATTGAAAAATTTCAATGAAAACTTAATATAATAAATACAAGAAAGCAAAGACAATTACGTTCAATTGTATGTACTTAAAACTACATGTTGTCTACAAATACTATTTTTCCTATGAACAATAATATCTTAAGATAAAATTAAAATGAAATATTTTTAACTTGAAAATCGGTCGATGGAAGTTCTTAGAAAATAACTGCCATGTGCTCGTTTGCCTTATATACATGTATGTACATGCATACTGTTTATAATAAAAAAACAAAAGTATAACGTCAAGTTTAACAAAATTCTGCAAAAAAAATCTATAAAAAAATAAAAAAAAACAAGCAAACAAACTACTAAAACAAAAATGAAAATAAACTTCAACAGTTGATACAAACTTCAAAACATATACATTACGCTCACACCTGTAATTAGATAAATCAAGAATATCATTTAATAATAAACGCTTTCTTTTAATGTTCCAAATAAAATATAAGACTTTATGATCAACATGCAAATAAACAGAAACAGTAAAACGCATCTGACAATTGAAAGAGACGTCCTGGAATATTGCCTGAATAAAATTGTTGAGGGTTACGTTTTCAAAGTTTTTAAATAAGAAACAAAAGCTGGCATATAAATTGTTGTATCTTTTTCAAAAATGTCATATGCCGAATTTTTCATTATTTGACTTCAAGTTTCTCACTACCATGAAGTTGCGACGACAATGATTTATCTTGATGTCGAATACATATTATACATTACCCAACACAATAACAAGAAGAAGAACAAGAAAAACACTGCATTTGTACATGTACTTTTATTACAACAAAAAAGAAAGAAAACAAACAAATTTTACATATAGTTACATGTATATGTACAGTACATGTTACAGTACATGTACGTACGTATACTGATGTTTAAATACAGTAATTAATTTTTAAAATTTAAGGTTTCCACCGCGTTGACCGGTGTTTGACCGCCGCGTTCCTCCGCAATTTACCACTGCGTTCCGCGGGGGAAACGGTTTCAGCCGCCGATTTTCGTCCGCGGTAAACCTCATCCGCGGGGTCATGCGGGTTTTGAAAAAGCCGCGCTGAGCGTACTGTATTATCTAAATGTTGTAGACAGGGATATGTGGTATTCCACCTATCCATATTTTTGTTGTGTATCATTCTTTCAGAGATGTTGGCAGTTACTTGTGGAATAAGGGGGTTATTTGGGCAAAAGGGGGCCTCCATGGCGGAGTGGTTAAGGTTGTTGACTTCAAACCACTTGCCCCTTACCACTCTGGGTTCGAATCTGAAAAGGGACTTTGGATTCTTTAACATGCAGAAGCTGTCCAGCTAGCTTACGGAACATCGGTGGTTCTACTCAGATGCCTGTTCATGCCTGACATAGTGTACAGAGAGCACCTGAGGTCTTCCTCCAACAGTTAAGCTGGAAAGTCGCCATATGACCTAAATTGTGTTGGTCTGACATAAAACCCAACAAAAAAAAAATCTTGGGAAATACCAGATTAGTACAATGTCTAGTTGTTGGGTTTAGACTAAAATACTGCTAAAATGTCACTAAACCCTAAATCAATGATAACGAGGAAAGGAGAAACCCAAAAATAGTTGTTTTACAGCCCTTTGTATAACTCATCAATTAAATTGAGTATTGTAGATTTTTAGCCCTGTGTATATCTCCATGCTTTCAATAAAAAGGGATAAAAGGGAATAACTGTTAATCTATGAGACTGTTTGATATGAAAATATATGATTTTGTCACTTATTGACCTTTAATCCAACTTAAACTGATTGTTCCCTTTTGTAATTTCACAATTTATTACTTTAACAATATATTAATAATTACAGGTTAAAGTGAATTTAGGTTGGATATACAGTTTACAAATGTATAATCGTGTCACATTTCAAGTGGCTGTAGACATGATAAGGAAGAAGAAAACTGTCTCAGAAGTTATAGCTACTGGGGGCAGATATGATGTTCTGGTAAGTTTAGTATAATTCCTGATTTAAACATTAATTATTTAAGCTTGTAACTTGTTACTTAATTAAACCACTCTTGAGTTTAAAACTAACCAGAAAAATGGTCTTTACCTCTGTAGAGCTTAAAGTGACATTATACCCATCCAAGCGTATATAGTGAATGGGTGAAAGTCAAAATAACTTTTCATTTTGCAATAATTACTTTTAATTTAATAATTAAGTTTGCATAAACAATAAATAACTCACAGATCCAAACAAAAATTTCTGTAAATATTCATTAGGATTTACCTATAACGCTTAGTTTATAAAAAGAGTGGGGCAGTCTTTTTTTTTTTAAATTTTAGACAGATTTATAATTTTATCCTAAACATTTTCCAATATCAACTGTTGGTCAAACACCATTTTGACAGTCAATCTTTTCAAATATAAAGTCAATTCAGTTCACTTTGACCATGAAAATAAGAGCATAATGTCTCTTAAACCCATGACCCTATGATGAGAGGCAGACACCTTATCCACTTGACCACTATTTCCTTAAGGTATAATTCTTGTTGTTATAAATTATGTGAATTAATAATTGTTCAGCAACAGTAAATAAATTCTGGCATTAAAATCAAAAACAATAGTATTTGTTATTTTAATATAGCTAGTAAATTATGCATCTTCTATACGTTTTAAAGTTCAGTTGTTGGTTCTTATTTCAGATAGAAAAGTTTGAGCCACGTCACAGTATATTAACGCCAAGCGTAACAAAACAGTCAGCTGTTGGTGTTAGTATTGCATTTGAGAAGATTGTCTCGGCAATGTTAGATCAACCAGAGGTAAGATATAGAATCTTCTTTCTCATCAGTATGGTGGCTAGTTATAGGCATGTACTTTTCTCATTGTGGTGATTATAGTCATTTGTCTAATTAGTATGGTAGATGTATGTCTGATGCAAAAGTAGGTCAAGGGAGCTAATGACAACTTTCTAGGTTTGGTTATATGTTACAGTTTCAGCCTCCGAGTGCCTACGATGTGTTGGTGTGTACAATAGGACATAAACCAATGGAGAAAGAGAGAATGAATCTAGTGAAGGAGCTATGGGGTGCTGGACTTAAAACTGAAATTAAACATGAAACACTTGAGGTAAATCATTTATTGTATAAGTACTTATTTCCTCAAGTTAAATATTCTGTGATTTTTTGTTAAAACACAAGGGGATCTTGAATTTCTGCGTACCTTATTTTTGCGGTAACACCAGTCTTGCATTGACATGCTTTATTACTCAGTTTTATGTTCATTTTATAAAGAAAATAATTTAAGTCATATTTGTTTGACAGTTCCTTGACATACTGTTTCAGATTGAACTGATAAACAAGTTGATTTGTTATCGTAGCATTAATGATTTAAAAATTCTCTTTAATGTGTGATTAACCCCATTGTTAAGACAGTATCAATTACCTATGCAAATAAGTAAGAAAATGTAAACAATGGAGTTAGTCATGTCTTTTGACATACATGCCGCCATTTGAACATGGTCTGCATTGTTCACTATTCAGTCAATACTTTTAATTAAATTTTACCTAAAAATCATAGATGCTTTGTTGTGATTGTAAAAATGGACAAGTCCATTTAAGATATTTCACATAGTAAGGGTCAAGGCATCTTATTCTAATTCCAGTCAACATGTTATTTATGGTCCAGTAAACTGACCTAGGGAAGTAACCCAATAATTGATATGAGAGGAGGAATGGTGCTATGTACTATATTTGAATAACACATGTTTTATTTTGTAGGGTCAGGAAGAGATTCAGGATTATTGTAGAGCACATGGTATATCTAATCTAGTCATTCTGAAAGATTCTGAAGGATCTAATGTCAGGGTTAGTCTATAAGTTATTTTTGTGTCACCTTTACAGAGTAGTGGCAACATATCCGTCTGTCTTTGACTTTTTCGAATTTTTTCATTCCTCCTTTTTAGCTCGACTTTTTTTTTTTTTTTTTAAAGTAGAGGTATTGCTATGATAAGTCGCGGCGGCGTACCTGGATCATAACTTTTTTATTTCTTGGTGTATTGTCTTCATACTTGGCCACAACAACCCTTGGGACAAGACCTTTCAGTAGACCACACTTACCTTGACCTTCATCCAAAAATGACCTTGACCTTCAAGGTTAAAAGTCCAAATTTTGCTTGTTCATACTGTTATTGGCTGTAACTTTGTTATTTCTAAATGGATTGTCTTCAAACTTGAACATAATAATCTTCAAGGATAACCCTTAAAAATAACCAGACAGACCTTGACCTTCACTCATAAATGACCTTGACTTTGAAGGTCAAATTATTGAAATTTTTATGTTTTTGGCTATTATTGGCTGTAACTTTGTAATTTTTGAATGGATTGTCTTCAAACTTGAACATAATAATCTTCAAGGATAACCCTTAAAAATAACCCGACTGACCTTGAATTTCACTCATTAATGACCTTGACTTTGAAATTCAAATTATTGAAATTTTCATTGTTTCGGCTGTAACTGGCTGTAACTTTGCTATTATTGAAGGGATCAACTTCATATTATAACAGAATATTCTTAAGGACAAGACCTTGTTGTTTATCGTGACTTCACCACATGACACCACCACATGACACCACCACATGACTTCACCACGTGACACCACCACGTGACTCCACCACGTCACCCCACCACGTGTCTCCACCACGTGACACCACTACGTGTCACCAAGTGACTCCACCACGTGTATCTATTTATAGAATTTTCTATTTATAGAATTGTGTGTTTCTATTGATAGAATTTTTTATTTATAGAATTGTGTGTTTCTATTTATAGAATTTTTCTATTTATAGAATTGCGTGTCTCTCTCTATATATATAAATTAGTATATTTATATATACAAAATATATAGACAAAACTAATGTGACAAGACAGACCGATTAATTTTATAAAAAGGAAACGTTAAGATTTTGTTCAAACATTTCTTTGTTTGCTTTTAGAGAAAGTAAAAAGTCGAGCGTTGCCCCCGCCCGGCGGTGGCTCTTGTTATGTAGAAGTTATGACCTTTCTAACATTTTACAATTGGATGAAATTTAATGATTTGCATACAGATTTTTAAATGTTTCTCTTCTCCTACAATACAAGATAGGTTATATTAAAACACTCACATCTAATAAAAGGTTGCTGTACAGCACTATATCTAATGTAAGGTTGCTATTTTATGATGGTACTAATTTTTTGTCTTTCACGGCTGAAAGTTTGAGCCTCGTCTTCGGATTCTTTCATGAGAAAGGTAGCCTGTTAGTTTACAGAACATCAGTGGTTCTACCCAGGTGCTGGTTTTTGCCTGCAGGGCACCTGAGGTCTTCCTCCACTAATAAAGCTGGAAAATCACCATTTGATGTACATGTATACTGTGTTGATGCAACGTAAAACCAAATCCAACAAAAAAACAAAAACTTTTTGGTTATTGGCAACTTTATGACTTGTGTTTTCTTTATAGAGCCATGCCAGCAAGCACATCCCTGCACACTGACCAGGCACTATATTGTCAATATTTTTACACTGAAATCTATTTCACAAGATTAAATGAAAGTTATATGTTATAGTGGATATTTGTTTGTATGTAAGATGAAATTTTATTTCATCGAGTGGGCTTTAAAAACAGTATTCTCACGAGTGGCATAGCCGCAAAAATAAAATTGAGATACCATATTGAGAAAAAGAAGTTTTTTCATTGAAAAGTGTGAAATTATTTTTTGATAATTTTCACTGTGAAATTATCAAATATAATTTTCACGGATGAATCAGTAATCCACTGAAAAGCTTAAAATAAATTTCTTTACTTCAGGTGAGATCAATAGAGAAGGAGAAGATTACAGAGAAAGTTATTTCAGCGTCAAATCTGGTAGATTTCCTCCAGCAGAGACTTCAAGTTTCAGAAACGTAAGTTTTTACGTTATTTTTTCTTCCAAAATTTGAAATTTTTGTAATAAGCATTATAATTAATGAGTTATATATAAGTTTGAGAACTCCTCTAGAGGTAATTAGTGAGAACTAAAAATGACATGGCTATGCCCCTGTTTTCACTGACAAAACTTATCTTATGCTTGTCTTAAAGCATGTGTATTTATGCCTTGTTACCATTATGATTTGATTACAGGGAACCAAAGTCAATAAGCCAGACAACAGGAAGTAAACAGAACCAGTCAAATATCTCACACTCAGAAAATGTGTCCCAGTCTACGGGAGGAAGTAATGTTACTTGGAACTTCAATTTTATACCACAAGAATCGAAACTGGCAACAAACTATAGGAGAAAGCAAGAGGCACAGGTAAACATAAATGAATATAGGATATTTGTTATATAAGGATATTTGTCATAAAAAACTTAAAGTGGGGCATCCATGACTGAGTGGTTAAGGATGTTGACTTCAAACCACTTGCCCGTCATCACTGTGGGTTCTAATACTGACTTTGGATTCTTTTAAGTAAGAAAGCTATCCAGCTAGCTTTCAAAAGGTTGGTGATTCGACTCAAGTGCCCTTTCATGCCTGAAATAATGCATGGAAGGGATCCTGAGGTCTTCCTTCACCATTAAAGCTTAAGTCGCCAAATGACCTTTACTGTGTTGGTGCGAGGTAAAACCCGACCAAAATAAAAAAGTACTGACTAGGCTATGCCACCAATATAGAGCAAATCCAGCCTGCCCAGGCTGCAGAATCCTTTCATTTTGATGTAAATATCTCTCACATTCTAATTTCATAGCTGGACATGTCCATTAGTCATTTTAGGTACGGTTTAGCATTCAGTATTATCAGACAAGGGTCTTAATTCTAAAAGCAATATCTTTGGAGTTATGCTCCTTTTTAACTTTGGATTTTAGGATCAGATACCACTTATGACTGCTTATATTAGGCTACAAAGTGTTGAAGTTCATACTTTAGCGTGTCATTCTAACTGATATCTGATTGACTCATTTTGGTGTTGACACATTATGGTATGAATATATAAACAAGTGGGCAGCAGGGTGCATCGAAGTGCAACAGGGCGATGTTTAAGGGGCAATAGGGCAGACTGAAATAGGGGCAGGGTGGGACACCCTTCTATTTGCTCTCTAATCATCTCTTTGTTAAACCAATAGATTATACTCATCTAACTTGTTCCTGTCTTTTCAGATTGTGTCTCAAGTGAACACATGTTTTCCATGGTTACATATGAAATGTATAGAAGTTATAGCAGTAGATTTACCTGGATCTGCCATAAAAGTACTGTCTGCCTTCTTAGAGGTAACTATAAATACTCTTATACCTGTATATCAGTTTTAAGTCACACAGACATTAATAGATCATATAGTGGGGTTTTAACAGTTTTACTGGTGAATCATTATTTTAAATACCACTCTGTGCATTATTTCAAGCACTCGTGTTGAATTAAACAACCAACTCAGTATAAGATAGGACACAAATGGTTCACACCACTCAACCAGATATTGAAAGATATTTTTAAATGGTAATCTTTTAATTGCAATAAGGTTTAATCGTTAACTTTCAGGTTGATTCTACAGAAAAAGATTTTGAAGCCAGTATTGGTTCTGTTATAGAAAAGTGAGTTTTTGTTATATTTTTGAAACCTAAATTTTATAAGCATGAAGATATTTTGGCATAAGTCAGGTATTCTTAAATTTATTGTCAGCTTCTTACTTGCCTGTAAGAAATTAGGGAAATGGTTTGCTTAAATGATATTGGTCTGAGTTGTGTTTATTGGCTATTTAACACGGGTTCAGAGTTTTGACACAATTAGGAATTGACCACAAAGGCCTTAGACTGGTTCTGTTTTAATTGCCCTTAAGTCTGTTCAGATTGGTTTAAGTCCAGTTTTGGGTATACATGTATAAGAAAGATGATAACAGACGTAAACTATCTGTCATTTACCTGAATGCTAGCAGCATTAAATGACTTTAAATGGCTTTTCCATAAGTATAGAGCCAGACTTTCTAAGATAACTGTTTAGCGGAAACTCAACAGACCATAATTACAGTTGTAAATGGTTACCATTAAGCTAATTATTTCTGACTGTACTAGCAGCCAGTGTAAGATACTTGAAGCATGAACATCTGTGCAATCTGTCATTATTATATACTGTAGCCTGCTTAACAGAGACAATTTGGTATCAAAACCCCCTTGCATCAGCAATGGGAAGGTCCTGATTCAAAGTAGGGCATGTCCATTTCACAAATTTAGCAGTGTTAGGATTAAACAAGAGTAAATAAAGCTTTTATATTAATTAATAGTAAGAAAATCGTGTTTATTGAATTGTATTTTATGCTTTATTATTTGACAAAGAAGAATGGGCAGTATTTATCACAGTACAACCTTTTCTTTTCAGATTGCCTAGATACAAGAAGTATATGAGTAAAATAACTGACCAAATTTACACACTGGTTTTTGAAAAGAAGTAAGTTTCATAATATGCATTAATTTGCCTTATTAACAAATATAAATACTTATTTAAATAATTTGACTATTTTTATTTTTTAAAAGTTCATATGATAAATTAGTCTGGGGCATAATATAATGGACAAGCAACTGTTTGCCAAGTTTAACAGTGTTGATGCTACTCGTGTTTTAATCCAATCTAGATGAAAACATTTTTGTGAGGAAGCTATCCAGCTAGTTTACAGAACACAGGTGGTTGTACTGGGGTGCCTATTTGTGCCTGAAATAATGCATGAATAGGCATCTGAGGTCTTTCTCCTGCAGCCAAGATATGACCTATACCGTGTTGGTGCAGTGTTAAATCCAACCCCCCAAAAAAATTTTTTTATATATTTAATATGTAACTAGAATATAAAGCTGGTAGATTGTCTTTAGTCTTGATTGATAACAACTTTTAAGAATAATGTTAATGCATTTTTTGTGCCTATTATTAGCTCACCTGTCACAAAGTGACAGGGTGAGCTTTTGTGATCGCTTTTCGTCCGGCGTCCGTCTGTCGTCCGTCCGGCGTCCGTCCGTAAACTTTTACTTTAAATGACGTCTCCTCATAAACCACCAAGCCAATTTCATCCAAACTTCACAGGAATGTTCCTTTGGTGGTCACCATTAAAAATTGTTCAAAGAATTTAATTCCATGCAGAACTCTGGTTGCCATGGCAACCGAAAGAAAAAACTATAAATATCTTCTTTTAAAAAACCATAAGAGCTAGAGCTTAGATATTTGGCATGAAACATCTTCTAGTGAGTGTCTACCAAGTTTGTTCAAATAAAAGCCCTGGGGTCAAAATTGGCCCCGCCCCGGGGGGTCATTGATTTTCCCTATATGCATATAGTAAAAACTTAAAAAATCTTCTTTTAAAGAACCCAAAGAGCTAGAGCTAAGATATTTAGCATGAAACATGTTCTAATGGGTGTCTACCAAGTTTGTTCAAATAAAAGCCCTGGGGTCAAAATTGGCCCCGCCCCAGGGGGTCATTGATTTTCCCTATATGCATATAGTAAAAACTTAAAAAATCTTCTTTTTAAAGAACTCAAAGAGCTATGGCTAAGATATTGAGCATCAAACATGTTCTAATAGGTGTCTACCAAGTTTGTTCAAATAAAAGCCCTGGGGTCAAAATTGGCCCGTCCCAGGGGGTCATTGATTTTCCCTATATGCATATAGTAAAAACTTAAAAAATCTTCTTTTAAAGAACCAAAAGAGTTAGAGCTAAGATATTTAGCATGAAACATGTTCTAATAAGTGTCTACCAAGTTTGTTCAAATAAAAGCCCTGGGGTCAAAATTGGCCCGCCCCGGGGGGTCATTGATTTTCCCTATATGCATATAGTAAAAACTTAAAAAATCTTCTTTTAAAGAACTCAAAGAGCTATGGCTAAGATATTTAGCATCAAACATGTTCTAATAGGTGTCTACCAAGTTTGTTCAAATAAAAGCCCTGGGGTCAAAATTGGCACCGCCACGGGGGTCATTGATTTTCCTTATATGTGTATAGCAAAAACTTAAAAAATCTTCTTTGAAAAAACCCAAATAGCTAGAGTTAAGATATTAAGCATGAAACATCTTTTAGTAAGTGTCTACAAAGTTTGTTCAAATAAAAGACCTGGGGTCAAAATTGGCCCCTCCCCGGAGGTCATTGATTTTCTTTATATGTGTATAGCAAAAACTTAAAAAAATCTTCTTTTAAAAAGCCCAATGAGCTAGAGCTTAGATGTTTAGCATGAAACATCTTCTTATGGGTGTCTACCAAGTTTGTTCAAATAAAAGCCCTTGGGTTAAATTGGCCCTGCAACGTTGGGGGGTTGGGGGGGCCTATATACAGGTGAGCGACTTCAGGGCCATCATGGCCCTCTTGTTGTAGATGTTAACACTATTTTATGTTTTTTATGATATCATATTTTAAAACCCTTAGAAATGAACAGTAGCCTTTAAAATGCTGGCATTAACTCTAAACAACTTCAGCAAGGCAAAGATTTTAAGTATAAAGATTTTTGTTATTTTCAGATGTAACTTTATTGTAATATACAGTATGAAAGATGAGAGAGTTAAACTACTTACATCTTCATGACCTTGTCACAAAATTCCTGCAGAGAAACTGCATACAAAGTGCACAAAGTCATACAATTCCTATAAAGAAGTGCACAGTTACAGACAATTCTTATATAAAAGTGTGCAGTTATATACAATTCTTATAGAGAAGTGGACAGTTACATACAATTCTTATAAAGAAGTGCACAGTTACAGACAATTTTTATAGAAAAGTGCACAGTTACAGACAATTTTTATAGAAAATTGCACAGTTACAGACAATTTTTATAGAAAAGTGCACAGTTACAGACAATTTTTATAGAAAAGTGCACAGTTGCAGTCAGGTCTTATATAGAAATGTACAGTTAAAGATTATTCTTACTGTAAAGTGCACAATTACGGACAATTCTTTTAAAAAAAGTGCACAGTTTTAGACAGTTGTTACAAAGAAGTACACTTAAAGACAATTCTTATAAAGAAATGCACAGTTACAGACAACCTGTGGAAAAGTGCTTACTCCAAAGTAATGTCAAAGTTACAAACAGTTCTGATAGAGAAGTGCACAGACACTAACAATTAAGGGGAGAATCTCAGAGTTACAGACAATTCTTATAGGCAAGTGGTGAATTTGAACTACTACTTGTTTATGTGATGCAAAGTTTGACTTTCAGGCCAGTTATTGAACAATAATGTTTTTCATTTGCATTTCCAAATATAAGTATTAAGGTATATTGCAATAAATCATCCAAGTCCTACTTTAGATGATTATATCCAAAAAATTTGTTATGCGAATTTAGTAATTTTCTTCACAATGCTTCAAATGAGATTTATTTTCCTAAAAGTGAAAATTGTAAAATAATTATAAGTTATTAGTGTTATTTGGTTCTTTGTTTTTAGTTGAAACCTAAAGGCTGTGCATTTCCATTTTATTTTGTCATAAAAATTAGTCAAATGATGAAATATACAATAAGTAAAAGGATATTATCACATACCGTGCCGATTTTGCCAACTCTGTAAAAATGGTATTGCATTGCCATGCATATATTTGACATAGCGTCATTTGCTTTATACAAACAAAGTGTAAAGAGATGCTAAAAAATTACTATTACACTATTGGCGCATCAATGAGAAATGATTCTTTTGCACTTTGAAAGGTATGTTATTTTCTTCCATTTATACCAAAGAATAATGTTCACAAGTTTGATGAACGGTTTGCAATATTTTCATAATGTTCACAAGATTAGTGACTGTTCACAATATTCTCATAATATTGAGGAGTTTAGTGAACTGTTCACTACAATGTCAAAATGTTCACAAGATTGATGAGCTGTTTACAATGCTGTCATAATGTTCACAAGTGACTTGTGAACTTTTCACGATATTGGTGAGTAAAGATATGTGAATTGTAATTTTGTGAATTTTTGAAATGTGCACAAAATTATTAGATTTTCATACTGTTTGCCATATTGGTAAACATTTTAACATAATTATTCAAATGTTCTCAAGTTCAACATTTTGTTTACATGATTTATGAACTGTTCACCATATTAGTGAAATGTTCGCAAAATTTACACTTTCTTATTAAAATTTGCTGTTCATGTATGTATGTACGTACTGTTGCCATATGTTTAGAATTATGACCATGAAATACCATGTGTTCAAATTGTCTGTGATAAAATGTTGTATTTATAATATATATATTTGTATGTTGATGATAACTCTCTTAAAATGTTAGGTATTATTTTATATCATTGTGCTACAGGTGGAATTAGTTAATGGGTGGGGTGGGACTTTGTCTAAGGGAAGGAAGCTTACATTTGTTATTGAATTTACTAGTTATTTGTTACCTCACTTAATTAACGACGATCATGTTTAACAGGAACCATTTTCATTAAGCTATTTTTATATTGCATTTTGAACCGCTTGCTGAAATGGTGGAAACAGTCAAACAATAAATTTTGGCCTGGTCCAACCATTTTACATATATATAAATATAAGATTTGAAAAGGTTGGCACTTTGATCAAATATGATAAATGTGTTTACCATTATAAAAAAATATGGCTTTTACATTTCCTATTTGCCAAGAATTTTGGGAGTTATTGCCCTTGAACTGGAAGAAATACAAAGTAATTCCGTCCACAGCCGTCTTACATGGAAACTGTTTGGTATTGCCATGCCCCTGGATGGTTCGTTTGTTTGTTTGTCCATCTGTCTGTCAGAAAATTTTAACTTTGAACATAATACAGAAGTCCTTTTATGGACAGTCTCCAAACTAAGGAGGTGTTTGCTTTTCGATGAACATTACCCACCAGACCCAATTATATGTATCAGGGTCAAAGGTCAAGGTCTTCTCCAGAGGCATTAGGGGTTTTTAATGATATAATTATGATGGTATGTGTGATTTTTTTCTGGGCATGTTCAGTGTTATAATAAGTGAGGAATATCTTTCTTATCAAATTTGCTAGTTATGTACACAAATTCATTTAATAGAAGCCCTTTTATAAAACCTGAGAACGGTTTTAGCATTTTTCTCCTAATTTTTTTAAATAAATTAAACTTACATACAAATTTTGGTGCTGCACTGTTGATTAACGACCCAAAGATGGAAACTGAATTGTGTGTAGTCATTTTTATGCTCTCTGCAAATTAATTTTTCATACATACATGTATTTGTAAAAAACAATATAAATAAATCTTAATAATACTTTTTGGCAATATATATTGGTCTTTTTATTTGTCTTGTTCTTGAATATTTCTAATATTAATTTTGAAGGGTTGTCTGCATAAGACTATTAGGATTTTGAAAGGTTTAAAATACATGAATAAATTATGAGTTTAATCCTTATCAAAATACTTTCTGCAATGTGTTATACCCTACCATGACATTATCTTGGTGAAGTCATGTTTTCAATGTTGTCATACATCTCAGACTGCTTCTTCCATATGACGTTCATTTGGTCATGGCACAGTCTGAATAAATTAAAACTGTCACAAGTTGGTACCAGTAGAGACAAAAAGTTCTTGTCATCTTAACTTTTCACATTTATACAACCATGTGGGAAGTGGGGCTGTCACGTCACTTTGATTAAAGATCTGTTTAGTTATCTTATGGTCTTTCAAATAGAATTTTAAAAGACCCTGATTATCTTTACCATAGAAACACAATTATAGAATACATGTATTAAACTTGAGCATTTAGGTGTATAAATTGAACTTGATGATACAAGTTCGTTACCATACATTGTGGTTAGAGGGTAAGAGAAGACTGTTTCAAAAGTTAAAGTAGTCAAATTTCACAGATTTTTTGTGAAGTAGTTTTCTTGAATCTAATTGATGTTTGTAAGTGATATGCCATTTGAAATAAATAGTACCCTATTTTGTTGCAGTATAGTGTAAAATTCTATATTTGAGATATGAAAAATAAAGAAATAAAAATATAAAAAAGTAACCATTACGCTTTCGTTCCTAATTTGTCTGAAGAAATCTGGATTGAGCCAAAAAGTACAACACAACATTGATAATACTTAGGGTTTTGGATAGAGAACCATTTTGAGATCAGCCTATCAATTTATTTGTATGCTTCCCTAAGGATGATTTGTTTGTTTGTTTCATTTTACGCCTTTTCCCAACAGTATTTCTGTCATATAGGCAGGTAGTTTCCTAACCATCGTTCCTGGAAAATTACACCAGTACTAGACTACCTTCCTCCCAAGGGTGAGCATGTAGTCGACGCTTTGTTTGTCCATCTGTTCGTCCCTCGGTCTTCTTTTCTTGTGCGGGACATAACTTTGAAACAACAAGAGGTATCAACTTTGTAGGTAGAAAGATCTCATTGAGTAGGTGTGCAGTGCACAAGAACCATAACTCTGCCTTGCCTAAGACTAAAATTATTGCACTTTGTTTCTTTTTTTTCTTTAAACTTTGTCCTGGACATAACTCTAAAACTATAAGAGTTATCAACATGAAACTTTGCAGATAGATAGATCTGATTGAGTAGGTTTGCAGTGCATAAGAACCGTAACTCTGCCATGCCTAAATTTCAAATTATTGCCCTTTGTTTATTTTTACACTTTGAATTTTGTCCGGGACATAACTCTAAAAGTATAAAAGATATCAGCATGAAACTTTGTAGGTAGATAGATCTCATTGAGTAGAAGCGCAGTGTTAAAAAGCCATAACTCTGTCTTGCTTAATTTTGGAGTTATTGCCCTTTGTTTATTTTGACACTTTGAACTTTGTCTGGGAGATTACTCTAAAACTATAAGAGATATCAACTTTGTAGGTAGATAGATCTCATTTGGTAGAAGTGCAGTGCTAAGGAACCATAACTCTGCCTTGCCTTAATTTGAAGTTATTGCCCTTTGTTTATATTTACTTTTGTCCGGGACATAACTCTAAAACTATAAGAGATACATGTATCAACATGGAACTTTGTAGGTAGATAGATATCATTTGCTTAAGAACCTAAACACAGCCTTGTCTAATTTTGGAGTTATTGGCCTTTGTTCATTTTTACACTTTGAAATTTACTCGGGACATAACATTGAAACTATAAAAGATATCATCACGAAACTTAATAGATAGATAGATCTCATTGAATAGAAGTGCAATGCAAAAAAAACATAATTCTGCCTTGCCTAATTTGTAGTCTTTTGCCCTTTGTTCATTTTTAGCTCACCTGAGCAATGCTCAGGGTGAGCTATTGTGATGGCCCTGTGTCCGTCGTTGTGTGTTGTGCACCGTCAACTTTTAACATAAACAACAAAAAACAACATCTCCTCTGAAACCAATGACTGCACATCAACCAAACTTTATAGAAATGATCCTTGGGTGGTCCCCTTTCAAAGTTGTTCAAATGGTTCCGGTCTGTTGCATATGTAGGTCATAGGGCCAGAAAAGGATTTCAAAAAACACAAAATTAAAAAATCTTCTTGTCTGAAAGTACATGGGCCAGAGCTTTGATTTTTGGTATATGGTATTATCTATGGGTCCTCTACCAAAGTTGTTCAAATTTTGTCCCTAGTGTCAAAATTGGCCCCGCCCCGGGGGGTCATAGGTTTTTCCTTATATGTATATAGTAAAATCTAAAAAAAAATTCTTCTCTGATTTGGCAAAGGCTACAGATTAAATATTTGGCATGAAACATTGTGTAGTAGACCTCTATCAAGATTATTCAAATAATGGCCCTAGGGTCAAAATTGGCCCCGCCCCGGGGGTCATTCATTTTCATTACATACATATAGTGAAATCTTGAATATTCTTTTGGTCTGAAAGTAAATGGCCTAGAGCTTTGATATTTGGTCTATGGTATCATCTGAAGGTCCAATACCAAAGTTGTACAAATTTTGTCCCAAGTGTCAAAATTGACCCCACCCTGGAGGGTCATAGGTTTTTCTAATATGTATATAGGAAAACATAAAAAAAATCTTCTTCTCTGAATTGGCAAAGGCTACAGGTAAGATATTTGGCATGAAACATTGTGTGGTAGACCTCTACCAAGATTGTTCAAATAATGGCCCTCGGGTCAAAATTGGCTCCGCCCCAGGGGGTCATTGATTTTCCCTATATGCATTAATAGTAAAAACTTAAAAAAATTTCTTTTAAAGAATGCAAAGAGCTAGAGCTAAGATATTTAGCATGAAACATGTTCTAATGGATGTCTACCAAGTTCGTTCCAATAAGAGCCCTGGGGTCAAAATTGGCCCTGCCCCGGGGTCATTCATTTTCCTTATATGTTTATAACAAAAACTTAAAAGATCTTTTTTGAAAAAAAAAAACCAAATAGCTAGAGTTTAGATACTAAGCATGAAACATCTTCTAGTGAGTGTCTTCCAAGTTTGTTCAAATAAAAGCCCTGGGGTCAAAATTGGCCCCTTCCCGGGGGGGAGTCATTGATTTTCCTTATATGTGTATGACAAAAACTTACAAAATCTTCTTTGAAAAAACTCAAATAGCTAGAGTTTAGATATTAAGCACGAAGCATCTTCTAGTGAGTGTTTACAAAGTTTGTTCAAATAAAAGCCCTTGGGTCAAAATTGGCCCCGTCCCAGGGGACATTGATTTTCCTTATATGTGTACATAGCAAAAACTTAAAATCTTCTTCGAAAAAACCTGAATAGCTAGAGTTCAGATATCAAGCATGAAACATTGTCTAGTAAGTGTCTACAAAGATTGTTCAAATAAAAGCCCTGGGGTCAAAACTGGCCCTGCCCCAGGTGTGTCATTGTTTTTAACTATATGTGTAAAGAAAAAAACTTGAACAAATTTTCTTTAAAAAAACCCAACAAGCTAGACCTTAGATGTTTAGCATGAAACATCTTCTAATGGGTGTCAACCAAGTTTGTTCAAATAAAAGCCCTGGGGTTTAAACTGGCCAAGCTCCGGGGGCCTATATACAGGTGAGCGACTTTGGGCCATCATGGCCCTCTTGTTTATTATACTTTCCTGTGTCGGGGAGCATCACCTGGTCCAACCGGTTCTTATTTCATTTTGGTTGCTATGGTGTGAAATATACTCATGCCGGTTTAAATTTGTGACACTTAATTAGTACATGTTTGTGGAAATGGGACCTTATCTAAAAGATGCACTTTATTATTTCCCAAAAGTTTGATTGCTATAGTTACAGAAGTTGTAAAAACAATGCAGTTGGATACGTTCTATGAAGCTGTGATAATTCAAATTTGTTACCTCTATACCAAAACTGCGTTAGGTTCCTAAAACTTGTACATCCACGATTCCATTCTAAGACTTGTTATTTCAAAATTTGTCAACTCTAAATATGCTCCGCAAA